GACACCACAGCAGTTCAGTAGGGCTTGGTCATCCCCAGAGTGGAACAAATGGAGGAAGGGGGAATCAGCATATCTCCTGATTGCAATCCTTGGGGTTCTCCTGTCCCTTCTACTATGACGCTCCTCGGGAGAGAGCTTTTGCCTATAACTTTGGTTATTCAGATAAATGTACCAGTACATCGTAATCACTTTCACTACTCCCATTGTCAATGTTCGATGTTGCCTTTTGTTTTGCTGGGAGGAAACTCTTGTCTTTTAGTGTGTTTTTCGGACGGTTGCCTAAATTAATCCACTCATTTTCTACTGCTGAAAAGTAAAAAATGAGTGCATTGATTTAAGCATGTTTTACTGTACTGTGTTTGTCGGCCTACATCAAGCTGCTCATGCACTACTGGTAAAGTACAAAATGAGTAGAATATGAGTGGCTTGATATAGGTACGCTACCTATCAAAAATTTCATGTTTTACTTTGAACCATGGCGCGCGTTTGAGTCTTATTAGTCTTTACGTTGAAAATTATTTAAGATTCCAAATTCATATAAAAACTGGCATCGAGCCTGCAATTCTCAGTCTGTCCGTTGAATGTCTTTCATTCCCGTTATTCTAGATCCCTAGATTTAGAGTTTTAGAGATCTAGAATAACGGGAATGACCCAATGACCCCTGGAATTGATAACAGTAACAGCAAACAGCATGCACGATTCATTCGTGACTCGACTCAACGGCCCGCGCCTCTTCGTACTTTGGCGAGAAGAATTTTTGATCCTTGATGCTTCACCATGGGATCAACATTCATGAACAATTATCGTCGACACTTTCAAGTTGATACCTCATGTACATCCGTTCAGGACTCGTATGTACAATCGAGATAGTGACCCATATTGAATTGCACCATTTGGTCGTTTTTCGATTGCTCAGTTGTACCTTTGTTTGTGGCGATTAGCGCCGAAGCGAAAATTGAAAATTGGAAACTGGAATCAAAAGTCACGAGGATCGAATCGCGATAGCAGTTGTGAACTGAAGCATGGCACGGTTTAAACAGACTGGACCCCGGCGATCGACTGGTAGTACATCTGCAGCAGGAGGTGGTGGCACTGATTCATCTGTAGTTGGGCGCCCAAGAACATCAGGGGTCGTGCGTCGTCGACCTGGCGAAACTCCGAAAAGGAAAAAACGAAGGATGAGGCCTGGTAAGGATTGCAGAAATCGTAGTCCAATGTGGATAAAAATGCCTTCTTGTGATTTATGCTCACTCGACATTTTTTTATCCGATCTTTGCTACTCTGCACAACCCAAATTTACTGATCTATCGTTATGAATTTTGTGTTGTTCGTTTCGTCAGGGGAACGGGCACTCCGGGAGATCCGCCAATACCAAAATAGTACCGAATTGTTGATTCGGCGACTGCCTTTTGCAAGATTAGTGAGGGAAATTCAACAAGGACTTTCTCGCCGAGCCTATAGTTGGCAAGCATCGGCTATTCTAGCCTTACAGGAGGCATCTGAAGCCCATCTAATAGGCCTATTCGAGGATTGTAATTTATGTGCCATGCACGGGAAGCGAGTGACGATCATGCCGAAGGATATGCAATTGGCAAGACGCATTCGAGGACGAACTCGAGAATAATAGTCATATTATAGATATACAGGGGAAGTGGCTTTGAAATGTAGAAATGGTTTATTGTGAAAAGTTGGAGACTGTACGAACGACTCGTGAAGTAACACGACGATGAACGAAGTCCGGGAGAATCGACACTGGAGAGGTGCTTGAAGAGCTATAGATGCGGGACATACTGCTGGGATGAAAAACTGAATAATCTATCGAGTTTTTTATGATTTGCATTTTAACCGTGATGTTAATTCAAACACGGTGAACTGGTCCAGGGTTGGCATTTTGTGGATTTCGAATGATCATTATTGTTAATACCATTGATTAAAATTGTTGACGTTAGCAAGTTTTTTAAGTTTCGTAGCTCGAAATCCTAGGAGGGAGGGTGGTTCTTAAAAGAATGAAGAGGTACGATGAGCCACAAAAAATTCTTCGCCCAGCACAGAAAAACAACAAAAAAGATGGTTTCCGTAGAAATATTGGATTGCAGAACTCTTGAGCTACTATATCCTGCCTGTGGCTATTTGTTCGTTCCTTCCATCTGTATTTTTGGGCAACCGTGCGTTCCAATTGCCAGGAAGCCCCGTTCAGTAAGAGCATCGTGCGGTAGTTCTCGGCCAAAAAGAATAATTGCTACTTCGTTCATTCTAGCCGGAAAGGATTGCGTTATAATTTTAGAATGATTAAACATTGTTATTTCTTCTCGTCGACACAAGATTGCACACGTTCCACTGATCACTTCATTTTAACCAAGAACACATCATCGTTTGATTCTATTTGTTTGTTTGGTGGTTCCATTGAGCACTTTTCCCTTGTTCGTTTATTTCTTTGGCGCGGGTTTTCGGTTGTGGACCATGTGGGCCTGGACTAACGTGTTGGCGGCCAGTGCCGCCAGCAGGCTGAGTTCTCCGGCCATCGTGGCCGCGGCCACCACCGTGGCCAGCTTCTTGGCGTTGGCACCCGGCGTAGAACCCCCACCCTTGCATCCGATCGCCTCGAGACAGGCGGCTTGTGCGGGCAGCGAGGTTCCTCCCCCGACGGTTCCGACCTCGATGCTCGGCATCGTGCAGCACATCCAAAGGTCACCGTTTTCGTTTTCTTCCATCAGGGTGATGCAGTTGGAAGACTCCACGTTCTGTGCCGGATCCTGTCCCGTGGCCAAAAAGACGGCCGTGACAATGTTCGAGGCATGGGCGTTGAATCCGCCAATCGCCCCCGCCATGGCTGATCCAATCAGGTTCTTGTTGAGGTTGGTGTGCACCAACGCCGCGACCGTCGTCTTGAGAGTAGTTCGCACGACTTCCTTGGGAATGACGCACTCGACAATGACGGATTTTCCGCGTCCGTGCAACCAATTCGTGGCGGCGGCCTTCTTGTCGGTGCACATGTTGCCCGACAGGGCAATCAGCTGGCACGAAGGAAAATAGCTCTGCAGTGTTTCGATGACGGCAAGGGATCCCTTCGAGATCATGTTCATTCCCATGGCATCTCCCGAAAAGCAAACCAGTCTCAGGTACACATTCTTCCCTGCGACGGTAGGGTTGCACTCCTTGAGCTTGCCAAAGCTTGTCGTGGACTCAAAGGCCTTCTTCAAAACGGCAAAGTTCTCGGGCTGCTCGCACCAGATTTTCAGGTCCGCGGCTTCCATCGCCGAGCCCATGCGGAGGCAGGGGGCACGGGTGATCCCGTCGCGCACGATTCGCGCCTTGGCACCGCCTCCCTGCGTAATGGCCTTGGCCCCACGATTGGACGAGGCCACCAGGCATCCCTCCGTGGTGGCCATCGGGACGTATACCGATTCGCCGTTGAGGGTCAGCGGGCCGACCAGGCCCACCGGGAGCGGAACGTAGCCGACGACAATCTCGCAGTTCGCTCCGTACACGCGCGAGTAGTCCAGGGAGTGTTCCGAGGGGAGCTTCTCGAGGACGTTGCTGTTGGCCTGGTCGCGTCCGAGGACGGAAGCGAGCTTTCGGTTGCAGGCAATTCTTCGAACGGTCACTGCACGGAAGGGATCCAAGAGTTTTTCCAGCATGTGGTCCTTGACCTTGTTGCTCAGCACCAGGTCGGCAATTTCTTCGTCCGGGAGCTCCTTCAGGTTGTCCGGGGGCGAGGCCTTCGATTTGAAGGACGATGGGTCGCTGCAGACGGGGGCGCACGCAGCGGGGGGGTGGACGGTCTTCTGGGAGGCGCCGGACGCCGGTTGGGATTGGGGTTTGCTGGAAACGAGACAAAATGCGGAATGCGGGAGACGGAACCACAAACAAATAGTGTGAATAAAATAAAAAACGAGCAAGTGTTGATGGGTTGTCTTGCAGTGGTCGTTGCAATGATCCTCGGTTGCCCGCACTCATCGACATCGGAAAACTCCCCGCTTCTCTCGCATCGCATTGCACTGCATCGCACGTACCTTGGAATGACCTCTTCCGCCTCTCTAGGAATGTCGTCGTGGATGAATGACACACCAAAGAATCCAAAGAAATACATCAAAAAGATGGACCATCCCACCAAAAACTGGACCAACACACCCTGCGACTCGTGGTGGAGGTACTGTGTCGCGTTCGAGCAAAACAAAAACACGCTGTAGAGAAAGGTGGCGACGGCCACAAAGTTGATCCACTTGAAGAGGTGCCACTTGGGTTGCTTGCCGCGATCGACGCCGACCGGGGCTGCCGACGCCTTGGGCTTTTTCAGGTCGTCGTTCTGCTGGAGCTGCTTCTCGAGGTTCGAGTTCCCCGTTCCGAGGAGTACGGTGCACAGCCCAACCGTCGCGGCAACGATCAAACCGTAGAGCTGGGTGGACGGAAGCTGGTCGATCTGGGCCACCATGGCGTCCAGTCGCATGCCAATGGTGGGCACTGTTCCCATGGTTTGCGCCATTTTGTTCTTTGTCTGTGTCTGTGCCTCTGTCTGTCTTTGGATCGATCCGGAAGGAAGCTTCGTTTGGGATTGCGACCGTTTCGGATAAGAAAGAACAAGGACGGTTGATTGATAGTGAAGAACCCTGTGTGTGCCGGAATGAAAAGGTATGAGGATCCGAGAGGAGAATGCTTTCGAACCGAGCGTTTTAGGGGGTCACGCGAATCGTGCTCGAAACAGAACCAGTCTCTTATCGATTCTTGTCATTCCTTTTTGATAGTGATACAGCACTGGTAGATTAAGACTAGGTATCGTACAGTGCCTACGAGTACGGTATGGTAGGTTCGCTCGTACTCACGGTTTCTCGTGGAACAACGGAGTGATGTGCGTGCAGCTCCGGAAAGCCCTCCCCTACACGGAACGTGCCAGCGAAACCGAATCTGGTTCTTTCAAAAATTGGCTTGGCGGCGGCATAGTCCAGGAAAAGGCATGTATACGCGCGCCAGCTCGAGCAATGCTAAGAACATCTGTATGTACCGAAGTAGCAGGCAGGTGCCCGGTCGACAAACGGGGTTCAAAACCACTTCGCAAAGCGCGCAACAACAAATGGGACGGCCACCGACGTGGACGCATCCCTGTTTCTATTGCGTGTCATTTTCGGCGCGTACGGGTGACGAGGCGAGGGGTTCTCGGAATTCGGGTGTTGCAGTCCCTCACTGTCACAAAAATCAATGGATCAGAAGGTGGTGCGCAATCGTACGGTACCGCACGCTATGTACGGTATGAAAGAGCGCAAGGTACAGTACGTACGTACGAGCAGGGGTCATAAATTTAGAGGGGTGCGCATCGTTTCGAACGGAGCTCAGATTTTGATCGAGAGTGAAAAAAATGAAAAATCATACTCCATCCTCCGTCCCAAAATTAAAAAATGTTAAAGTTGTACAGTAGTACACCCAAGTACATTGCAAGAGATTCTTCTTCTTCTTGCGTCAATGGACATGGGTGACCAGCAATTAATGTGGAGGAAAAGAGTATCTTTGTTCTGAGACTTGGGAACATGGTTGAGGCCACAGTTGAAGATCATATGGATATCGTTTTGAATCTTTCTGAGTGTTTCTTTGGTGGTGGCTTCCATGAGCAATGTTGTTTAATTTTCGATGAGATTGTCCATACGGGCAACGTCAGAGGAGTTGACTGCATTTTGTTTGATGTTGTTGATAATTTGTCCTGGATTACTGATAKTGTTGTGTGCTGGTCAAGGAAACTGGAGCCATCTCTGTAGAGGAGTCTGTCCAAGTCAAAAGTCATGCTGTAAGCTTTGTTCATTTCATCGGTTAAGTTGGTGCTGGTGTTTGGATGAAGTTGATGATCATGGAACACGATGTCCATGAAGAATACCTTGGGGTTGAAGGTATGGGAAATGCTGCCACCAGCATGTGGTGTTGAAGCACTTGGAGCCATGATGAGAGAAAATTGTGAAGTCTTGAAAGTCAGGATGAAGGACACTACTATTGGGAACAAAAGATGTTTTGATTTAAATCAAAGGATGTTTTCTTATGAAGTGATGTTGAGTGACAGTTGCAAAGGTAATTTTCTGGTGTTTCCAGAAAAGAGTAGGTTTTCATGAGAAGCTTCAAGAATTATTGATGTACAAGTTTCACAGTGACTTGTATTGGTCTTCCTAAGCAAGAAGGTCACAGTTTTGATTGTAGGAATTAAAAGAAATGCACATTTGATTGAATGTGGGATTTATTTTTAATGCTTGCATGGGATTTAAAAATTGCTGTGATGGAAATGTTAGCACCAAATATGTTTCAAAAAGAAAACAAGAATTTGTCTTGTATCAAGATTTTAGATTTCAAAAGGGTGGCGGGGTTATGGAAAGTCAACAATTGTGAGTATGGTGAAACGATGAAATTTAGTTTCATTGTTAGTCAATGAACAATGAATTCAATTTCATTGTAAGTCAGTGAGTGTTGAAGTGTTAAACATAATCATTCTCGCATGTGCAATGACATTTTGCTGTGAAAGGCTTGTGGACAACTGCATGTGGTAGAGATGTTTGAGGAGAGAGCACACCTAAAAAATCACCATGGTGATGGTTATCTTTATTGGAAGGGTGTCATAACCTGTGGGGGTGACTATCTAATAGTAGTGATGTAAATCAAGTGTTACAAGAAAAGTGAGTCAATGTTCTTATCAAGGATTGACAAACTATGAAATCTAAGATTGATCAGAATGAAAATCGAGTGATGTTTGTGAATCGAATGAGTCAAGTCAATTGAGTGGATCCACAGGATTTAATGAGTCATGAATGTAGAGTGTGCATGAATCATAGATATGTGTCATATATATGCATCATAGATATGGATCATACCCACAATATGATATCCTACAGACAGCAATTTCATTGATCTTCAACATTGTGCATGTACTCATCATTTTGAAAGCACGCAGGGGAATGGATTGTCATTTTCAGGCATTGTTGTTTGACTCTTTTGAAAAATTGTATCGTATAGAGTTGGCTAGCAAATCTATGATCCGGTTGTAGATTTTGGGCCCTTATTTTTGTGTGTGATGAGTACTTTGACTAAAAAAACTATGCTCTTGCGTTGTGTTGAATTTTTAATCTTTGAATCCCGTGACCAAATAGTTTTGCTTGCACTTGCCCCCCTGTACTGGTAGTACAACTCAATTTTTAATCCAATGAGTCATTACATGGTAAAAAGATAGCCCAAAATCAACACATAGTATAATTTAACCATATAAAACTGTTTAAGTCATGAACTGACAGTTTGAGCTCTATATTGGTCCCCAATGGACACTTAACAAAGATGAGCACATGAATTGAATCCCAGTAAAAAGACAAATTCAGTGATATGGGGGGTTATAGCGTGTTATTGAATATTTGCTTCTATTAGTGTATGTATATCAAGTATTAAAAATGTATGATTAATTCTGGCAAACATAGCCAAGCCTATACAATATTCTCAAGTTTGATAGTGTTTTCTCCTCAACTTGTTTAGGGATTTTTCTTTACTACTACATATCTGCTCTCATTTTGCAAAATCTTGAGAGGCATACAATGTGTAGTAGTAGTACCATCTGTTTCAAAAATGAAAGACATTAATCAGGGAAGTACCATGAAACTTTAGTAGAAGTTTTCCCAAAAAATTGTAATACTATTTGGGCTTTGCAAGACAAGCAATGTAGTAAGGATTAGAAGAAATGAAGCCTAACCAAATTTTTTAGCATTTTGAAGAATTAGAATCATTTGCAAAGCATGCTGGCATGCCTTTTGATGTAGATTGTTAACACTAGTACTAGTAGTATTTTCTTTTTGTAGGGGGGGATGTTAACAGAATAGTGAAGGATACTGTGATATATTGTAAGTAGTAACAAGAAGGTACAAATATGTTTGCAATTTTTGGGAGCCCACTGGTTCAATTTTAGTTCCAGAAATCAATAAAATTGAATGATATTGATGCAAGAATATTCATTTGATAGTAGTACTTCTAGTTGGAAATGATGCAGGAAACCAACAATCAGAGTCAAGCAAGAAGTGTCAGACTGAGTACTAACTGCTGGTAGTACTAGTACTACTAGTACTACTACTAGTACTACTACTACTAGTAGTACTACTAGAAGGAGATGAATGGGAAAAGCCAGTTTGAATCAAGATATGGATTGAAATTGATAACTCAGTCTCACAGATTTGTACTACTGATGAAGCAGTGTGAATGTGAGAGAGATCACAGAAAAAGCCAATCAAATATTGTGGAGCAATCACAGGTACAGTAGCTAGTACTAGACTACTAGTATCATTACAAGTAATAGTAGTACAAATAGTAGTACTACTAGTACTCCTGCACCTGGACACCCAATTGTGAAATCCAACCAAAGGGGTGGAAAAATTTGTTCAATTTGGCATGACTAGTGCCTTTTTGCAGGCAACTACCTTTTCTGTGCAGACTAAAGAAAATTAGCTTTGATCTCCTAACAATCCACCATTGGAGTTTGCTCCAATTTGAGGCCAGCCTACTCCTAGTAGAACCAGCTGAAACAAAGCTGCATTTCTATTGTTCCCCTCAACCAGCCCAGCATAAATTGAATAGACAAGAAGAAGTGGAGTGTATTGGTGACATTGAGGCTGGTGATAAGCAACATTGCTTGCACTGTTTCTTGTCTTGCTACTAGTAGTAGTACTGCCCCCCCCCCTGCTGGGAATGGCAACAAGCACTGCTGGTGCTACAACAGGATCTTTCTTCTTCCTGTACTGCTACTAGTATGATGAAGAATCCGCATTACTAGTAGTACTACTAGTAGTGGTGGTGGTGACACAAATGTCAAAAACTGCAGTGGTGCTGCTGATTAAAAAAATCTTAATATTATATTTTACCTCGTGAACTAGAAGAGGCACTATGGCCAGAACCATAGCTTTTGTTAGAAAGAATGCTTCTAGCTGCTCTGAGGGGCGGCACTTCCCTCCAAGGAGTTTTGATGGAAGTGCAACCAGGTTTTTGTTTTGGCTGAGGAATTAATGGAAATAATTGTTCATAGTAGTTTGTATGGTACAGGTGGTTGCGGTAGAGACCAAAGAGAGCTTTGGTAATGCAGAGGGTTTGTGTTGTTTCTTCTTGGAGTACGCGTCAAAGATCAGCCCATCTTGTGTGACGCTCTCTGGTGGTTGTTTACTATGAGGCAAATGTTGAAAGTACTGAGTAATAGGGCAAGTGTTGGAGACAGAGGCAAGTGTTGCTTTGGTGACACTTGCCAGAATCATTTTCTCGTAGACTCGAAGGTAATATGTGAGCATGGAAGTAGATGCAGTTGATAAAAAGGTTTCCACAGTKGTGCTGCTGATAGTACTACTACTACTACTACTACTAGCTGGGCTGTAAGAATTATTTTTATCACACTACTACCACTAGTAGTACCCCCAACTCCATCACCATCATGACCACCACCACCACCAGAAGCTGCCCCACCTTGCAACACAAGAAGCAAGAAGCAAGAACAAGAACAAGAACAAGAACAAGGAGAATGACACCTCCCCTGAGATCACCATGCTGCCTGTTGCTTGATGGTACACAGGACAAGGATGGGGAAGAGGGTTGTCTTCATTGATGACTCCCTTGAGCTGGTGCTGGCTGATACTACTACTGGGTGGGGATTAGCTGTTCAGTAGTTCTACTCGTAGTAGTATTAGTACTAATTTTACTGCAAGAACTAGTACAGGATAAATAAGTATTACAACATCTTTGAAATGAGGACACATGGTACCCTAGTAGTAGTAGGAGTATGGGTACCATGGGGATATTAGGACAAAATGCAACAAAAAATGCAGAAATACATATTTGTGTACAATAAAGCCAAGAGTTCAAGGAAGTGCTTGGCTAAAATGCTCTCTGCAACATGGGGCCAGCACATCTCTCAAATCTTTCACATGGTTTGCTCGCAATTGGCTTTTGCCTTAGCAAGAGCTACTAGCAGGTACTTGAGAGGTACCTGGGACACCCGGCTGAAGTTCAACACACCAGTTGAATGGATCACTCAGTCGGGTGTATGGGTCTATGCCTGTCAAGGCCTCACTGCCCTTATCCTGGCAACTGGTGCCACTGCAGCTCTATTGCATGAAGTCTGGAGCCCTTTGTTTCTTTCCTTCTGTAATGAAAATTTGTTTAGCAGCAGATTTTCAATGTTCAACATCCTGTCTTCTTGGAGATCACACATCTTTGCATACATTACATTCATCCACTGCTGATAAGATCTTCTCATTCCCATTGCATTGTTTCATCCAAAAGGACTATCTCTGGAAACAGCACCAGTAGCAGCAACTTCATCTATCTCTTGTTTGTAGAGCTCATCAAAATGTATTTCACCAGCTGATTCACTTTCACTAATTTCAGCTTTGCAAATAGTAGGATTTACACCATCATCGATTGCAACATAAGCACCACCATTAGCTCTGACTCTGCTGGTATTCAGCTGTTCAAAATATGCTATTACATGTCTCCTTGTATCGTCAGGAATTAAACCTACCAGAGATGGTCATTCAAATGCTGCCCAGAGCAATACAGCAACTTCATTGCTGAATACACTTGCTACATTAGGAGAAAAAAATTCAATAAGTCACTCACCATTACTATATACTCCACACATCTTCACTGCTGGCTTACAAAGGCAGACTACATCATAACATGGACAGCTTCCAAAAGAAACATCTGACCATAGCAGTGGCATATCAGTGTACTGATTTTGCTACATTTGGTTTCCTTTCCATCTGGCTCTATAATTAACATCATCCCTGTGAATGCCAGCGTGCCTACAAATAGAAACAGCATGCTTTCTAATTGAGTAAGTCACCAACCTCCCTGGTTTTCCTTTGTTAAAGCAACATTCTTCCAAATATGCCTGGTCAAGAATTAAGAGTATTGATTCTTGCCTTGGTCAATCTCTCTTTTCACATATTTTTCACATATTTCATTGGTGACATTGAATATGTTGTTCCTTCAGTAAAAAGCCACTGGTTGATTGCTCTGTGTCCATCATAGCACTATTTCTCCAAGCATAGTAATGCTAAACCAAGTACTGTGCATGATTTTTTATTCATAGATCCCATCAATATCTAATCAGGACAACATCTGTCTTCTCTCACATTCTTTGACCACTTCATCTTCATGATCAAAAACTCATGGAACCTAGAGCAAGCCTTCAAGAAAGAAAGAATCCTTTGATATAAGCCATGCCATCAGTTTGACCCATGAAGTGCATTTGTACCATCATCATTGCTTGAAACTTCTTCTCCTATTTATCATACTACAATGTTGTTCCATAAATTTAAGTGCTTGGAAGCAATTGGCTCTATCCATTTTTATTTGCTTGTCAAGTCCTCTTGTTTCCTTCAGCTTGATTGCGGCAATTAGATTATTCACTTTGGGAGATTGGGTTGGATTTTCATGGCCAATCCCTTGAATCATAGTCCACTTGATACTCTTGTTGGGAACAAAATGTGAAATAGATTTCTTTGTATACTCTATGGTAGTTGATCTAGCATGAATAGGATTGATTGGAGTCAGATCTTCCTTCTTGTAAGCCTGCAAAGTAATCAATGACCAATATACATTATCAGGAGGTTCTCTATCTCAGCATCAGTATCCTTGGTGTGGGTATTTTGCTTCTCCCATCTTCTCTTCCATGTACAAAATCCATGCAATAGAGAAATATTTTCCAGTAATCATACCACTGATCAGGAATGTGTTACGACCTGATGGTGGATTAGGAGGACTCAGTATTGTTTTCTTGTTGCTCTCAATCAGCTTTTTCCAGTGCTTCAACAGCAACTCTAAACAAGTTTGGGTGGGAAGATTATCTTGTCCCCTACTAGTAGTGTATTGTCTCCTCCATGCCTCCTTGTCCTTGTACTCCCCATCCTCATCCTCCTTGTTCTTGTCCTCCTTGTCTTCTGCATTCTCAGCTGCTGGTTGTCCTTGATGCACTGGTGCTCTTTCTAGGGTTGGTGGCAAGAACATGTCAAAAGGAAATGCAGCTACTCCTGTGACTAAGACAGTTACATAGTAAGAAAGCAATTGTAAAACACAGAAGTTGCATGTGTTGCACTCTGTATGTAGTATCATTTCAACGGTTGAGAATGAACCTCCACTCAGAAGCTACTACTAATAGATATGACTTGTCATATACCATGATGTATGTTTTAGCATATCTATAGGTTCACCAAAAAGTCATTATGGTTGCAAAAAGAGGGTTTTGAGTAACAGTATGAGGGTAGGTATTTTGGGTCATAGGCCTATCTAGTGGGAATTTTTGTTCCATTGAGGCAGCGATGAGAATGATATTTTAGTTGCAAAATGCACCTACAAGTTTAAGTTCAGTTCTGTCCATAAGGTGCAGGGACCCTACCAAGCTCTGCACAAAAAAATAGAGACAACAACCTGCGCTCATCAAACAAATTCACCTCAACATGACCATGATGGGAATGACAATATCTCCATAACCAAAGCATTCTACTAAGACAAAGTGAGGGTACTGTTATGAAGAGCTCACTCTTCTTAGTAAGGTTGCCAAATATCATTCTATTGGTGGAAGAACTCTTATTTTAACTACTGATCTACTAAATAGGGCAGAAATGTAAGAAATTTTTGAATCCAGCAAACACAGCAAGAACACCAGCAGAAAGGAAGCTTCCCCTGGCAATTGGTTGCCTGTAATGAGCAGTATCTAATTAGTGGGTCTACATATTGGCATTGCCTATGGACATGATTTGGTTGCAATTTAATTGTCAACAGAGGCTTGGTTGACAACGATCCCACAGTATCATTCAACAACAATAGCAATATTTTTTTCCTATTGCATTCTACACAGTTCTATGCATTTAGCTTTCAACAATCAATAGAAACAGTGTTTGTGAGACCACTAGTAGAACTGCTCTGGAATGACCTCTACTAACGTCTTTCCCTTTTGGGGATATGCTCGGTCATAGTGTTGGGGAAGTGTGCATGTGCCAGTGTCCTAACCAATGGGTCCACAGTGGCTGCCATGCTCATCTACTACTAACAGCCGGTATGGCCAAATTTTGCTATTTCCGAGACTGGCTGCGTGGTACTTCCTCCAGACCAGAATACATGTCCCAAGTGCACCACTATTTTGGTGGGTGGTCCTAAAAGAATGATTGAAGCAATGACAGTGCAATGGCTACCATGTACAACATGTAGAATCAGCACTAGAGACTAAAAACATGCATGCACGTGAATATTTTTTTTAAAATTTTTTACACCTGAAAATACACTCTGTTAACGCGGGAAACTAAATTTTGCATTGACAATGGTACTGTGCACCTCTTTTGAATGAAAATGACCAATATGAAAGTTTTCCCTACTAATGAGAATAACAGCCTTCTAAAATACTTAATCTTGGCTTTCTATTGCTGCAACAAGTCTTGTACCTAAATGACTGGTAGAACCATTTCAACCCTTACTAAATTGAATTTGTGCACTAAAAATTGCTCTTTTTGAAGGCCTATACTGATCTTACTATTGGTATGACATTGTTATGGATAGCACGTAAAATCACTGTTAAATGAGGTTTGAATAACAAAAAAGAACCATTCAAACACCAATTGGGTGACTATAATTAAGTTGAACCCAAAAAGAAGCAACAGCATCACTCTCCACATCCTCAGAAATCAACTGGCTTGCATTGCTGGATCAAAGCAGGCCTAAAGCAACACATTTCCTAGATTGCTGCCATTTGATTACCAAACCCATTAGCAATTGGTGGTGCAATTGAAGAAGCAAGTCACTTATTGGTCACTCCTGTTCCTTGCAGGGGCTTGTAAGATGGATTCCTCCAAAGCATAGCTTACCTGCAACATTGATGTTAGGCCAGGCAAGCTGTGTATTGGTATACCAGTCCTGTTGCTGACACAACTTCCATCTGGCTCTATAATCCACATCATCCCTTGAGCAACCACACTGTCTAGCATAAATTCTTGTGCCAAATTTTCAAATGGAGTGAGCACCAAGCTTACCTTCTGAAGGTGGTCTTCAAGGAACAAAGACAGGATTCTTAAATGCATAGTGCTTAATGAAATTAGCTCTTGTCATGGTGCTTGTTGGTTTGCTTGGTTGCTTGTTGATTTGCTTATTTGGCACTTCATTTTGCTGTGAGCAAAGAACTGAATAGTAGTACAGAGAAAAATCTGAGTCTCAGGCTTATCAATACTTTACAGTGCGGGAGTGAATATTTGTAAGAGGGAGTTGCAAAACTGGTTGCACTCAACACTGAATATGGCAGTTTTGTGCAACCAAAAGAGGTACTAGTAGTAGTACAACAAGAAGAAACACAATCAAAGCTGAGGAGATGTGACATACCAAATACGGTTGCTCAGTAGAATCATGTACAAGTTCGCACATGGAAAATATGGGTACGGCTTATGGTGGAGTGGTGCAAGATGAGTACTGGCATATGGGACATATGTAGAATTTCCTTCCAGAATCCTGTACCAAAAAAAGGAGATATGGGTTGCAAAATGGTGGTGCTCGTAGAATAAGTTCAAATCAGCAGTGTATGATCGACTTCTCGGTTTGCATTTCCATCAAGAGGGATCCATCTGTTCAGCCATCTGTCGTTGACAAGCAACTTCCACGGCACTGGGCGTATGAGAAAATCCTCAGGCGCAGATTGTTCCCGGTATTGAATTCCGGAATATTTCTTCAACCTACGACAAAGGTTACGCATAAGTTTCGTAAGCTTGAAAACTTTTTACTGTATTGATGGATAGGTAGATTGCTACGGTATATCGATGTAAGGAATACAAAATGGGAGCGATAAGTAATGTCGGATGTTGAACTGAGATGCAATCAGGAGATATCTCTACTCATACGTAAATCGTATTTTTCATGCGTCAAGCACGTTTCTGCAGACGTCAATTGTGACATGGCGCATTTGATGAACTAACTATTTTTCTCAATTTATTCCACACTTAACGGCACAAAAACTTCAACTTGATCACTTTCATTATTTGGAGGTTCGCCTTAGAAGAAGAACGTGAACCTCTGTCGTTAGACTTGACACCACAGCGATTTGGTGCCAACAACATGTGAATTGAAGTACTTGTATCATTTTTTTGGCCACTTCATTGGAGCTTACCCTGTTTACGCGATTGTAATAGCGAACTGGTACTTGTACTCCACTGGTACCGTACACTGATACTTCTGATATAAAACTTCGCTTCAACATCAGTTTCAAAGAAAATCATCCGAGACACTTCAACATCTCTCACGAAAGAATGATCCATCATTGCATAGCTGTCCTTGCAGTCTACCCCTCTCAATCGATGACAATTCAACTCTGACCACACCTCCATAACCCGCAACGACGGACAATTTTACCCAATGGTATTCAAGTTACGCAGCACTATGATTTCCGCTCCCGAAATGAACATAACGATCACGCCTCTTCTCCGAAGGAGTCCACTAGAATACCTAGACACTCATCCCCAGCGGCTTGGAAAGAAACGCCCCCGCTCAAGCCTCAGCGAAGACAGACAAAGAGTCAGCAACTTGAAAACAAATAGAAAAGTGCGTTTCGTTAACTTGTCGTCATCGCTGCCTTTGGGAAAGTCTAGCAGCCAGAACGATGCAAACAACGTAACTGGCAAAAGTGAAAAATGTTACACAGACAACGGTCGGACAAGCGCTTATTCTTCTTTCGATCACAACAACGTTTGGTACTCTAAACGAGAGCTAGCTGAATTCACGAGACAAGCCAGAAACTATGTATTAGGGATGGACCAAGAATGTAAGAACATGAAACATCTTTCCTGTACACGAGGTTTCGAACGCTACGACATTGCCCGTTCTCAACAGAAAACGATGACGCGCAATATAATTTTGCTTCTTATGCAACAAAAGACATTGAGTGACGAAGAGAAGTCACTGATTGCTCGTCGATCATCTGCTTGGGCAGTGGAGGACGCATTTTTGACCGGGTGCAAGGATTTTTGCGAGGCCTATCACCCACAAATGAGCCATCTTTTCTCAAACGACGCGAAAGATGCCGCCAGTGTTCTCAGGGACGTACACGAAAACGCGCGAAAGAGAATAAAACTGAGTATCGACCAGAATGATGAAAGCTGCAACTGTCGACAGTCTCGTGCAGCTTCAGTTTCAATACTTTGAAGTACATTAACAACATATTAGAACTTCGGCAGTTACTCATAAAATTGAATTTTGTCCAAACTATTTGTAATAACACTTTCTAGCTGTTGGTGATGTTTCGTTTGTTCATTTTGGGAAGGTAGACTTTCGCACATTTTCGACTTCAGGTACTTCTGAGTTCATTCTGTGTTGTTGTTCCGTCTCAGGGACAAATTTCTTGAAGAAGTGAACTTGTCGCTTTATGTGGGTCAGTAGTAACATCTGTTCAGCTCGACGTCAATGAGGTCAATGTGCTACTACTATGCCTTTGCCATGAATGGAGAATCTGATCTCAGAGATTCTGAAAGGTGACCTAGTGCATTGACCAAAAATACTCTGATATCCTTTTGAGTGATTTACTTGATTTTGGTTGCGCAGATATGCCTCAGGAACTCTGTACCTTACAAACAACAGTAATTATTTTCCCTCATCATAAACATTAGAAGCATGTTATTTCTACTAAACCTGTAACAAGCGGTAATTCTGCAGAGTCCTTCGCACTTGTGATGGCCATTCTCTAAACTTCTTTCTTGATCCTGCTTTTTGGTTTTAGATTTTCTCTACAAAATCAATCTCGTGAACAGTGCGCTTAGGACAGATCGAGTGGATTGATTCTTCAGATAAGCTATCGTGAGGCAAATAAGATTGAGGAGAATAATGATTTATAATATATTTTACTGTACATGTTTTTATATGTCTTGGAATAATAAAGTTACGGACTTGATTGGATTCATACGATTGCATTTCGAAGCGCCGCATCTGAAGATGTTCGGATGAGTTGACTCTCCATTTCTTCAAGGCTCGGATGCGCGCCCAGAAAGGACGACGCTCGTCCAAGGAGACTGCTGTTCTCAGTGGGGCATTCGAATTCAATAAACTGGTGCTTCTTAGCATTGTTCTTTGGATAGTCGCTGTCGTTGTGTTCTCCACCTAGTTCGACCTCGATTTCTTCAAGGGTGAGACCAGTGGTTTCGGGGACATATGATCTGATGTAGAAAAAGGCAAATGCTAAAATCACGGCAAATAAACCAAAGGTACGCCCCCAACCGAGGTTTTCTTTGAGGGTGGGAAAGATAAACTGGACACCAAAGTTCAGGGCATAATTCAGTTCCACACCGAGCGCAATGGCTTTTCCTCGGATCTCCAAGGGGAATGTCTCGCTTACAATACACCAAGTGATGGGACCAAACCCGATCTGGTACCCAGCAATATAGAAAAACATGGCGAACAAAATCACATAATTTTGGCTGGACCTCAAGTCGCCCGTTTCGGTGTCGATGTGATCGTCCCATCCCCAAAACGAAGTACTCAATGCCGACAATGCAGTCATCATAACAAGACACCCCAGACTCAAGAGGAACTTTCTACCCACTCGTTCCACTAACAAGACGGTGATTGCAGATGTGATCATCATCAATACCGATGATGCAACACTGGCAATTCCTGTCCAGCCAGCTGCTTGAAAGAGTACAGTAGCGTAGCTCAGCACGCTGATAATTGAATGAAAAATTGATAAAATGAAAGATGTCAGGTGCTGAATGAAAGACGAGGACAACAGAATTGATGCAGTTCTGTTATGTCAATGCATCATTCACGATGCGCAAGTCTCAATGGACAGAATGGTAGCTTTGATTTCGTTCTGCCGTACCGTACACACCTTGGTTGCCCCGAAAATTGTTGAAAAATAATCAATCCCATGCTGGCTTTCACGGCCTTTCGGTACCTCGGGTCAACCAACGACGGGTCCTTTCGTGTCTTGGTTTGGGAAGGAGAGAGACCTCCTGCCAATACAGACTTGGCAAGGCTTTCGTATTCTTCTCGAATATCACCATTGTAAATAAACTTCATCGATTCGTAAGCCTCCTGATCTAGACCTTGCATCAGTAACCATCTCTTGCTTCTAGGTATGCAATATGTCAACGCAAGCATTGGCAATGCTATGATACCACATATGCCATATAGATGGGTCCAACCAAGTGGATCCGTCGACATGCAATTCCCGATCATGTATCCAACGACGATTCCTCCGACAATTACTGTCTCTTTTGCAGATACAATAGCACCTCTGATTTTGGTAGGGCTCATCTCAGCAAGGTAGGCAGGTGCCCCGTGCATCACAAAACCAACCCCTATTCCGTACAAGACTCGACCGACACAAAGACTCAAGTATCCAAATATTGCAGCTTCTTTCAGGACTGTCCCCGACATGACGTTCAGAAATGATCCAGCGATATAAAAAATAGCGCAGAGTCGCAATTCCATTCGTCTACCGATGCGTTGTGATAGATACATCAAAACAATATGACTTCCGACCAATGCTCCCAAGGAGAGACTAGACACGACAAGCCCCTGTCGTGTCGACGAGAGATCGGTCCACCAAACGGCGGCTCCAAAATCGTCAACATCGGGTGGATTTAGGAGCATGACGAGTACAAACGACGTTGCTCCGAGATCAAATCCATACAAAAAGCCACCAAGCATTGGCGGCAAAAGGACAAGGAACAATCCAAAGAAATCGATTTCCATTTCACCTTTATTTCGAATCGTTGTTGGTCCTGACGACGACGACGACAAGTCTGATTCCGAACGAACAGTTCCCGTTGACAGTTCATTCGGAGACAACATTCTCATCGTTCTCATTCTATTTTATCAAGCTGTCGAAAATTTATTTAGCAACCGGTCGAGAAAGATATGCTCCAGAGGTGCTGCAGAAGAGCTTTGAAGTAAGGAACCAAGTGAAGTTTAAATTTTCACGTGATCTGAAGTTTTAGATGTGAAAAGACACACGGCCAGATGATTTGGAACGTGTGGTTGCGTACTGGGTGTGATTGAAAACTATGGCATGTTCTAAATACTTTACCGTTGAGATTCTTCAACACAGATTTGGTGACACTTCCCCTAACGATAGGAGTTTCAATTGGATACTAGAGGTGTCAAGAGAACAACCTCCACAAATGAATTCACAAGATAAAATACAAAACAGACGGTAGTATGTTTCTACCGTTACCGCTACAGTTCCCGTTTGTCGGGAGGCAGTTTCGTGACAACACTTTCTGCTTGACACGACGACGCAAGCTTCCAGAGCTTTCAAATGAGAAAGTGTGAAGCGCCAAACTGTGATGTGGCAATCTGACGTTACTTATGGCAGGGATGGGAGGGCAATTCGGCGCATGAAACTGCATGAAGTACGGTACGTACGGTACTTTGAAGTTGGGAGGACATCTAACCATTTTTCCGGATCTTGCTGTGAAAACTCTCTCTTTGATGACGAACGGGGACAAAGATGGATGATTGGCTCCTTTCAATCGTGACATGAAGTGATTGGATGATGTCAACCAATGGATGATGAAATCGAAAAATCAAAATGAAAGCAGAGTACCAAATACGTACGTACCGTACGGTATTGTACGAGGTACCAGGTACGCGACAAATGTGTCTTATGTTTCATATCTCTACTAGGTACCGTACTCTCTTACAGACTAAGGTACGAAGTAAAAGTACGAGGTACGAACGGTAGGAAGGCAAATGTGTGGCACGAATCTGGAATGGGTTATGAGTATTAAAAACGTGCAGTTTTTAGTAAAAAAAACACAAGCTTCAGGTTTTGTCTCACCCTCCAGACAGAGCTATTTCCAGAACTTCCTGTCAACACACATACTGGAATAACTTCATTACAATCAGAAGAAGGGGATCTGGAAGTCTCAGATTGATTGGCATAGCAGTTTTAAAATAAGCAAGAGTCTTCCATGATGATACTATCAGCAGCAAGAACAAGAAGAACATCCATATCTGCCTGCAGTAGTAGATTCCTGCTTGCAATTCAGTACCACCACCAAATATTTTGATAAAAATTACTTTTGTTTTTTAATTTTGAGACAGGTTAAATTTATCAAGGCAAATGAGGTGTATTCTTCTCTCCGTAGAGCCCTGTAAGATTTATACCAATCCCAGACCTGTCTTGCCCTTATTTGCCTTCATTCCTTGGCGTACTACTTCCTCTGTCCAGAAACAAGTGTGTCCAATTTGCACCTTTATAGTCAAAATAAGCTCAATATATGTCCAATTTGGATGGTCCTTTATTTGACGTTGATCTTATCAAATAACATTTTAATGTGTTGTTATGCCATAATAACAAGGTGCCACCAGCAGTAGTAATATAATTAGAATAACAACAAGCCTTCAAAAACAACAGACCATTTTTTGGGTTGGTATGAATACTATTATAATATTGTGACTTGTTGTGTTCCAACAGTCATCATTTTGATATGTTGCTACTTCCTTCATGTGATAGCAAAGAGTAATTTTTTTAGGCTATTATAGGCTTGGCCATGTGTTTCCGGCCGAATCATTCATGCATTTTTTAATTTAGATATACAGCCCTCCTGTGTACCTTCCAAAATTGACACACAGCAGTACAAAATAGTACACGTAGTAGAGAGTTAACTAAGGGTCAACTCTGTCACTTGAACAGCTATAACTTGGTACCCAACAGATGCTTAAGAATTTTAGGCACATGAATCAAATCCCAGTAAAAAGAGGATTCTAGTAGTGATACTATGGGGGATCTCTCCACAAACAAGCTATATGATAGTAGGTCCAGTCCTGGGGACTCACAACTGAGCCCATGGTACCACTGTCTTTGTTGCATTTCTTAGTAGATTGCATTGATAGGAGCCCACCAAGAAACAACCAGTGTGAAGAACATCATGTGCTGTTGTTGTTATTCTTTCTTTTTGACAAGATTTTTTTACTGTGGCTGCATATTCTTGTCATTCATACATTTCTCATTGTCTTGAGAGTTGAATGCTGTTAGTATCTTGATGCTGAACAAAGTACTGTTGCTAGTACAAAACTAAAGATTTTCTATTTCAGTACTACTACCATAGTGAGGAGTTGGCATTGTATATAGTATGTGGCTTGCTAATCTTTGATTTGCAATGATTCAGTCATCAATTTTATTACTAGTTTGACTAAAACAACTAAGCACGTAGTACAAAATGCACATGCTCAGTAGTGTTGAATTTTTTATTCCCAGGAATAGAACAAGTGGAAGCTTCACGCACATGTGCTCCAACTCCCAATTCCTACTTTGACATATGCTACTACATGTTGGAATTTTTTATCCCATGAGTCATTACACAGTAAAAAGATAACAACCTACTAGTACCAAAACATGTACTGTAGCTAGTAGAAAATTAACTTAGGGTCAAGTCTCAATAATAAAATATCCAACAGCAAAATGATATATTTAGAATCAGCATCAAAAACTGGGCTAGACTGACTACTCAAAAATTAAAATAGTAGTATTTTTGATAGTAAAGCTGTAAGTGCTTAATGGTTGGATAGTTTTACTAGTATTATGCAGCAGTAAAAATGAGAATTAAAAAATCCTGGGTTGACTTTTAGTAGGAGCTTTGGACCACAGCACATGGAATACAGTACCCTCTACTAGTTGTACTAATCGTGTAATAACAAGAAGAATGACACACAGCACTCTTCTTAACACAACAACGACCGAGTGGGGATCTCATTAGAGGCCTTTCCAGAGCTGTTTGCACTGTGTTTAGCTTATTTTAGCTTATTGAGCTGTTTGTGGTGGAAAAAGTGACCAAAAACTAGTATGTCTATGTAGGATCAGTACTAAAATTCTTGGCTTCAAAATTAACCATGATTTTACTAGTAGTACTAGTACTACTAATAATTTTTAGTGTTTGAGTAGAATGCCCTTTTGCCCTGTAGGGCGTGGTCGGATTCTACGGTTAACGCATTTTACTTCGAAATACAGTAACTGGTATGAATTTTCGATTCGTGCGTGCCTCTTTATGCTATGACCCCTGGCGAGGCCGGTACAAAAAATAGAACTTCTGTTGAAAATATAAAAAATGAGCACCGGCCCACATATTCGCTCCCTAGATTCGTCAAGATGTTTCAGTTCCATGCGGGATTCGTAGAGAATGTTCCAATGATCAACCTAAACGGAATTGTTTTGTTTTTTCACTCCAAATTTGTGCCTTTTTTTGGCATGAGGCACCGTCTATTTAGTGAAGACACTTTGACACGCATCGTGGAATATTTCATTTGCTTCACGAGTATCGACCACAGTCTGTCTACCCGGTTACCGTACCGTACTCTAGGATGTGACTACCGTTGCGGTTAAATGTGGTTAATGCGGCAGATAATTCACAATGATCAAACCATATTCCGTATCCCAATCGCACGCAATAGAGCCATAGCTACATCTGAAAGGAAGAGCTTGTCTATCTTGTATTTTCATTATTCATGAGGGTATCAATCCAAACAACGATGACCAATCATCGGCAGGAGATCGAAACTAGTTGTCGCGAGGAAACAACATCGAAACAACGTCGCCGGGAGACTGAACACAAGAAATCAAGCAAGAAACTCAAAAAACAAAAGAAACCTTATTTTCAGAAGAGTTATCGTCGTGAAACACCGGGCGATGCTCTAGCACCACGGATCAAATTCAAGAGTGTCTTGGCGCAGCCATTCAGCCTGTGGAATGAGATCGAGGAAATCGTCAGCGAGTTTCTGGTTGATTTCAGCACCAGTCAAAGAAGCCATATCATAAAAAACCTCATTCGATTCCTTGAGCTGAAAGTAATGATGGGAGAATACAAACCAAGCGGTCTCCTTTCCCCGACAGAGGCAGTTGCACATGTGTGGCATGTCTTGATCCTCGAAACGGAATTGTATAGAGATGTAGTGTATGCGATTCAAGATTTCCATGCTAGACCTCACCGATTCATTCACCACGCACTATTTCGAAAATATCATACGAATGAATATTATGATCAACTGGAAAGAACCCAAAGACTATTCAAGTCGTATTATGGAACTGAAATGCCGGCCGTGCTATGGAAAGAAGTAGATAGCCACGGGAACCCAGTTGATCTGCCAACTTCAGTGATAGTAGAAGATACATCGGTTGTAACTGGGACGATGGCTGAAACTTTTCCTGATGAGAAGTCACCGAAATGGTACGCCCCCTGGCTACCTAGCTGCCACTGTTTTGGAGTCTTCGAAGACGCTCTGTGCGGGAGGAAAGAAAATCGTAACTATGAAGAAATTTATGTTCAGGGAGAAAACGTGTCTCTCTTGAGCACTCCGCGTGGGCTTGCTTACGAATGATGAACTTTGTGAAGTCGTGACACAAAGGAATCTTTTGCGCAATAATCAACGTCGTGTATTCGTGACACGAAGGAATGCTTTCCACACCAATGGACGAAAAGAGTATTGGGATCACTGTCTGTCTCAAACCTCGATGATGTAACATCCACTTCATCTGGTTCTGGAGATGAACAGTTAAAGGGAAATCTTGTCATTTACGTGTGACTTGGTATGGTGATACTCAAGAAGATAAACTAACGAGCGAAACAGTTAGTCCTGGACAAAGATCTTGGAGCTCCCAAGGCTCCCGAACGAGATACATTTGGTCAAAAGTGGAAACGAGTCAGCATGAGTAATTTTGGTTGGTGCTACACAAAATTGCTACCTTGTCGCTTCGAATTTTTCGATTATTGAACACCGTTCAAGAATGTACGATACAAAATTTTATCATGATAATGTTAAAATGCGTGCTAGTTGTAAAGATAGGGAAACATGTGTTCTGAGTTCTGACTATCTATTAGCTATGTAATTTCACTTAATTCCATGTTGAACGTGCCAATTGCATTGCAATCATCTCCTTGTGGTTGCCGATTGTAACCATTGCTTGGGGCAACAACCCATAGTCCAGTAAGTGACAATATACCTAGGGTTGTGAGCAATATTCCTGGTGCACCAAGCCCAATCTCGTCCATCAAAAGGGTAGCAACAAGAGGTGACATGCCTCCTGCAAAAGCTTGTGCTATATTGTATCCAATAGACACAGACGTCAGGCGAGCTTGAGGCTCGAATGATTCAACGAGCCACGCACACATCGGTGAACCCCACATTGCTAAGCTTATACCGAGTCCCATCTGGGAGAAAAAGGCTATCCATAAACTTTTGCTTCCCATATTACCAATTAACAGCACAAAAATCGGTCCCAAGCAAGCGAACGTTAAACCTCCAGCGGTCATGACTGATCGCCGTCCAACAAAATCGGATAGAAGTCCCGCTAATGGGAACCATATGCCTAACATCAAGATACCAAAAGAGTTAACTAAAAACGCCGATGGCACCGGAGGGTCGATCAAATCTTGCATAAAAATCGCCATCCAAACGAATGATACGTAGAATCCTCCGCTCCACATCAATGGTACCATCGCACTGGCCAGAAGCGATCGTCGATTCTCTTGGGAGAAAGCTAATCTGAGCGGATTTGATGGACGTTTGATCTCTATGGATGTATCCAATCCCGTTTGCTGCTGTCTCGCATCGGAAGATGCTTCAGTGGAGTTCTCGTCTAGATTTTCGTCCTCTATCACAATATCAATGATTTCCTCTTCAACATCTGTTGTCAGTATTTCCGGTGAATCATCATGCTGGCAGTCGCTACTCGAGACAACAACAGCATGGCCAGGTATACTTTCGTCCTCTGTGCAAACATATTTTAGGTACAAGCCACAAAATGAAATCATTATCCCTGATATAAAGGGTATCCTCCATCCCCATTGAAAAAGCTGTTTTTCTGTCAGTGACAGTCTCAGGCCATAGGCTACGAGGCCCCCCAAAAAAGTACCAATATTTGCTGCTCCCATGACAAAACTGCCATATAATCCCCATCGATCTGTCGGACGCCCCTCAAGCGTGAACACTAAAGAGCTCATCAACTGACCTCCAACAGAGAGTCCTTGCAGCATCCGCACCATCAATAGCAACAATATAGCTCCATTTCCTATCTGCGAGTATGTTGGAAGGCATCCCATCAAAGTAGTTGCCGAAGCCATCAGAAAAATACTGATTTCTAGAGCATTCTTGCGTCCCGAAGTGTCCCCAATGTAACCAATCATTAATCCACCAACAGGGCGCATTAGAAAGGCTCCACCAAATACCGCGAATGACTCCATTACGCTACGGTCTTCGGACTGGCCCTTGGGGAAAAAAACTTCCCCAATGATGTCCGAAAAGAAACCAAAGACAGCAAAGTCATACCACTCTAACACGTTTCCCATAACGCCAGCGAGAGTTTTCAGTTTTTGGTGGAGAGAAGTAGATTGCCAACGACGAAGATGTTCGTTGTTATTGTAAAACATACCATGGCCATTGTCCGAGCCCTGGGTGCCAACGGTCATTATTCTTTGATGCTTTGCGATGTGTTCGGAATCTAGTTTTCGACCTGCCGTTTTCAATCGATCGATCCGCGGTGCCGCTAGATGTCTATCCAAAAACGCGGTTGGAGATTGTCGGCTCTGAAATTGAACTTTTGCGGAGCTTAAAGTGTTTGGTGGTCGTATGTTGCCATTAATACGATGCCCCAAGACACGGTGAGAATCGAAAAACGAGCGAAGAAAAATTTCTCGACCTTCGTCATGCGTGTTTTGATAAGAGTACCGTACGAAATCAAGTGGAGGTCATTACTACTAGTACTACTAGTAGAGCCGTGCAGGAAACAAGAAGCTTTGCAAGTGCAGTTGTTCAAACTGCCAACAGCTCTCCCTTAGCCTGCCTGGTACCATTGCTCTTCTCCAGAAGATTAGAGGATCAGCAACAAAAGCAATACTAGCAGCAGGAGTAGTTGTAGCAGCCACCACCAGATGCATCATGTTTGAAGTGCAGCAGCCAGCAGTTGTTCTTTCAGAAACTGCTGGTGGTGCCAGCAACAGCTCTCCTCCCTTCTTCTTACTAGCAGTAATACTACTAGTACTACTACTAGCACTAGTAGCCTACCTGCTGGTACTACTAGTACTGCTTCTTCCACCAGGTCATTCCCCTGTTGCTATTTGTTTGATTCTTACTACTACTACTAGTACTACTCCTAGTAGTAGCAAGAAGAATACTACTACTAGTACTACTACTAGTACTACTAGTACTAGACTACTACTAGCACCAGTTGCATGTTTGTGATACTACTACTAGTAGTACTCTTCTTGCTAGTAGTACTAGTAGTAATCAACAAACAAATAGCAGCAAAAGGGGAATGACCTGCTGTCACCAGCTCAGGGGGGGGAAAGAAGAAGATGATTCTTCTTCAATTGTTGCAAGAATGCTGGTGGTGGTCTCTGCTGGGCATTCAACTAGTATCCAAATAATTGATAATAGACAAGTTAACCATGGAATAGAATACATGATAAAGAAGGCAAGTCTTGACAAGCATGGGAGAATGAAGAACACACCTAAATCTTATGAAACAAAGAAAGCAAAACTGATTATAATGGAATGCTTACTATAAGAAAAAGATACTACACTGTTGACCAAGACAAGGTAAAACAATTTTTGCTTTATGTTGTTGCTTCCCAGGAGCAGAAGAAGAGAGGACAGAAAAAGAAAGGAACAAATTTGGCTACTTTTGATACAGATGAGTGGAAACAAATATCAACTTTGACTGCTGAGAATTCTCAAGATGACATGCTCAAAAGTACCCTTCTGGAGAAACTACACCCATAAAATGGGGTTAGCTGGAACCTGATAAATAACACTAAAGCTGCTCCCCAATAAATGTGGCTATAACAACAGGATGATGGAATCAACACATAAAGGAAGATGGTATTTGGGTTGAAATTTTCTTAAATTATGAATAATGGAAAAGGACATCAGCATTGGATGGATCAGAAAAACTACAAAGAAATATAGACAATAATTCAGAACCAACTGAAGCAGTTCAACAAATTGATGTCATTGATATTTCACTCTTCACCAATGGTATTGAAATGTCTTATGGGGAAATAGTGAGCAACCTTCTTACATAAGTTGTAATCCAAGATGCAGCAGCTCGTGGTGCTGTTAAGTACCCTGAGGACGGTATTGTTTGTCCAATATACCAGCTTGGGTTTTTGTAACAACAAATTCAGCAAGTACATGGAAGAAATGAGGGTTCATTTTGATAGATCGAAGTGTCCATGGGACAATTCCTTTCAACATTTCAATGTTGGCTTGAATTCTAAACTACAAACAAGCCTGTCTGGTAGTAGATGCAAAGCAGTCCATGAAGGGAACTCTGCACTAGTGTCCCAACTTGCAGCAGGATCAAATCATGCAATTGTAGTACAGGATAATAAATTTTGTTAACTGAGGTCTGGTTTTGGAGATGCCACTACCATTCTAGGAGATGGGATGGCAGAAAATGTCTCAGTTGACCCCATTGTAAAACAAAGAAAAATTGTTCCAAGTCCTCATGCAATAGGCACTGCCAACCCACACTGCTACATCACAGAAAACTTGCCATTATCAGGATTTGGTTACAAACTTCCAGTAGTACAATCTGCTTCTCAATTATGGAATGTTTGGTTTGTCACTGGGATGCCAACCCACACTCCTGCTGCACCACAGAAAACTTGCCATTATCAGGATTTGGTTACAAACTTCCAGTAGTACAATCTGCTTCTCAATTATGTAATGTTTGGTTTGTCACTGGGAAGTACAAAGATATTCCAATTTGTGGTGGTGTCAATGCCCTGGAACATAAACACTCTAGCACTTGGAGAAGGGGTTATCCAAAATGTGACACTTGGAGGATGTTCTCCTCCTACAAGCTTGCAATTGCATACATGGAGGAGGAATTCAAAAACTAAACATTTTTTTGTATCAATGACAAATTGTTCCAAGAGTAAAAAACTTGTGCCATAACTCCTTTTGAAAGGAAATTATGCAGGAGACACCACATGAAGCAGCAGAAGGCAGAAGCTGCAGCAGTACTAGTAGCAGAAACTTGATAATTTCACTCACTTAAACTGCTGTACACCACCCCACTACACAGTGCATCAACGGCATAGTACACAAACTGCACACCTCACCTCACAGTGCATGAATTTCATACTGCACCATACAATGCATGAACCATACAGCACAACACACAGTGAACAAACTGCACACTGCACTGGACACTTCAAAAGCTTGAAGGTACCACCCACAGAACCAGGTTGCAGTCACTATTTGTCTCATATTTTTGTTATTGCTAGTAGAGCAATATTGCTCTGTGCAACATGTGTTTATACAAGAGGTGCAAATAAGAGCACACTTTGCAATTGGGAACTATGGGGCTCTCTGACGAAGGAACTTGTTGAAGCCATGACAACATTGAGTTGAAACAGCAGGAAGCTCCCATGCCAAATGCAGAATATTTCAGTGAACATTCTAATCAGACGAGGGGGGAAAGGCCATGTCATTATGACATGACCTTAAAAAATTGTTCTATAATATTATAGAGAATTACACCATAGCAAAGTTCTTGTATTAAGGTACTACCCTGGTGAGATAATGAATGTGTGGTGTTTCGTTTTGTTAGATTGCTGCAGCAGTGAGGGATAGATGGGTTGAACAGCAGTGTGTCACCTGACCACAATAGAATTCAGATTTTGTATGTAGGAAAAGTGAAGTAATAGATGACCTCATAATCCTGATCTCAAAGTATTATTTTTCACATGACAACCAATCTTGGGGAAGAAATTCAAATTCAAAAGGAGGATTTGCGCGCAGATTCGGGGGGATCAATTTTATTTTTGGGGGCCGGTGTTGTCACGATCTACAGTTTCTGCCCTAACAGTACCATACCGTACGTACGGTACTGGTAAACACTCCGTTTTTTTTTTTCTTATTGTCCACGATTAAGATTGAGGGCAAGAGCACAAAACCGTCCCTGTGAAGGTCAAACACAACAACAACTCAAAAGTTGTTGAATAAGACACAAAACTGAACGATAGGAACAGAAATAACCTCGAGAACAGCAACAATGATGATGGATACTGACGAAGACATGAGGACCATGATCAAGCTCAAGGCTGCTGACAACAATGAGGTCTTCGAAATTTCATTGAAAGCAGCACAGATTTCCAACATGATCGTGAATTCCTACGAGCAGAATGACGATGATGACGATGACGGCGCTATCGATGCGAAGCCCTTGGAATTCCCAAAGATCAGTGGCGGCTGCCTCAAAAAGGTTGTGGAATTTATGAAGTATCACGATGAAAAAGAAAAGTTTAAGGATATCCCGTTTCCCTTCCCCAACGAGTCCCTCCGAGGGGTAAGTAGTTTGGATAAAGTGGATTGGATTTAGTTTATCTTTCGCTATTGATAATCCATTGCAGTGCTGTCATCTTCAAACCGCGTCTTTCGCTTTACTCAACTATATCTTTGATGATCGACCTTGTGCGATTCTCCACGAACTACAATAACAACAAATTGTGATTATGCCCACGTCAATCCCTTTGATACAATGTACCGTATTGTCATTCAACATGTTTCAATGCAATGCCACCCCACATAACACGACACAACGCACCACAGTTCTTAAAAGAAACACCATGGTACAGTAACTTTGTCAGCAAAGAAAATTTGGGAGAAGGTGAACTAGGGAAACGCATGTTGTTTCAGCTCGTAACCGCCGCCGATTATTTGGATATCAAACCACTTTTGAACCTGACAACCTACAAGATGTTCTCGGACATGAATGGAAAGTCATTTAAAGAAATGAGTGATTATCTAGGCTTGGAGTCAGAGACGGAGTCACCAGATTCGTCAATGGATTCAGCACGTCAACGAAAACGAACTAGAACTGAATCATAATACCGTAAGCAGTGTCGTCACCAGTAACGATCCGGTCATTTGAGAGCCAATCGGTTGGAGGGTTAATGTCGACTTTCGTTGTAATCACGAACCATTTGTCCGTCAAACCAAAATAGTGGTGGGTGACCGTGATACGTGTGGGAACTTTAGCGATGTTGTCTGGTACCTGCCGCAAACATAAGATATGCAATGAAATAATGCTTGTAAACTCCATGTGTTCTATAATTCGATATAATAAATATTTATTCTAACATCATTCCGTAGCTGTGCATCCCAATTATCTCCATTCACTGGCAGCGGGTGTCGCATCTGCGAAAGATGATCCAATCAATGACATCATCGCCATCTTCTTCGTCAAACTTTTTCACTAGATAATCAAATTTTGAATACGAAGATCGGCAAGTTCGATGAATTCATACGTTGAGTCGTTGTTTTAGTTTGTCTTGCCATTGGTTTTCTTCTGCTGGGGTTTGTTTCGACCTCCTCGATTTCTGTTGTTGCCATGGTATTTGTGATTATTTTTGGCGGCATGTGGTCCCTTTCCATCGGCTCCGAGAAGTGGTGGCGAGTTGTCTTCCTCCATGACGGAAGTTGCCAAACCCCAGAGGATGATGCTAATTCTTCCCTTGTTAATTCCATGGGCCTCCTGCTCTTCGACTGACAAGGCATTGATTCCGTGCTTCCAGTGAATGTTCACGTCCCGACCAAACGAGAAAACACCATTGTTGGGTTGGGGAAAGTACAAGCGGCAATCGGATTGGTCGTCGGCACGCAAAAAGGCGAGTTCTCGGCAGTCACCGAAACTGACTCCAACCGTAATGTTTTGGGTCTTTGCCCGAGAGGGGTTGAAAGCTCTACAATGAAAATCGAGTTTCCATTAGGAGTCAACAAAAGAACAAACGAAGATGAATCGTGTGAGTGGGAAACTAAGAAGGCGTTGTTGGTCGTCAGTGAGCATCCCTTCTCGAAGAAATGAGTTCCGGTGACTTACGCTGAGTCGTGATGAAAGGGCTTCCAATCAGAGCTATCCTTGTACCAGTTGAACCGAGTACCGATGCTCTTTTTTTCGATTCGAAAATAGTCACACAGATAGTCAATGATTAATTGAAAGGTTTTCGATCCGCTAGGATTTTTGGCCACAAGATGGGCTCCTTCGTGCCAAGAAATCCACTCGGTTCCCTTCACATTTTGTTGCTGGAGTTCCGTCATTTCTTCGACGAGTTGGTAATAGAGTTTCCAGTCCTCCTCAGGCCCAAACATTTCCGGGACGATGACCACATCGTCGTGTCTGAGTGGGAACCTATTGTAACATTTCGACAGAGGAGATCCGACTTTCACCCTCAGAGCGGGGCGCACGAGTGTGCTGCCCGGGTCAAAGGATTCCGTGTTGCGGCCGGCGCTTTTCTTGGTCATGCGGTGCTCCGGATCGTCGCCGCGAGGATCCGGGGCAACATCGGTACAAAGATTTTCGTCAGGCTTTCTGACGGCTGACGGCGTCTTGGTTTGATCCTTCACCTTTCTGCTGCTGCTGCTGCTGTTGTTGTTCCTGGCTGCAGGCTTATTGTTTTGTGGGGGGCGTCGGCGACTGTTGTTTTTATGCTTGCCAATGCTGTTGTCGATGTCGTCGCTGTTGTTGTCATTGTTGTTTTTCCCGCTGTCTTGTTTCTTGCCTTGTTTTTGGTAATAAGATGTGGAATACTGCCTGTTCGACGGAACATTTTCGACCTCTTCTTTTGTGGGGCTTACCGGTACATCCTCTAAGAATTCCATCGCTTCTGATCTTGTTTTCAAGTGTTGTTTTCTGCTTCAGTTTTACTTCCTTTCCGTGGAGGCCAAGGTTTGGCATGTAATTACGACGGATTGTGAGCATGTTGCGTACGGTACTCGCACTTTACCGTACCGTACGAGAGAGTATTTTGGATTTGGACTGGAAGAAGCGGTTACTGTACTGTACTGGTCTGATGTCCATTTCGTACCAGTACTAGGGTGAGCAATCCGGGAACCCGTGCCAGTGGGAGGTCTCGTCTCGAGACGTCGCACGCCAAGGGAAGGGACCCTAAACATTCTGTTCGAGTACGTAACAGTTTTAACCTGTACCCGGGTACATGAGGAATTGGTTGTATTTGGATAACTCACTCGTCAAGCTATTGTTTCGCGCCAAAAATGACAAGAAATTTATTTGTAGCTTATGCAAGTACGTACGTACCAGTACCCGTACGTACTGAACTTTAGAATTGTTTCCGTATCATACCGTACCATATTTCATATGATATGTACATAGTCAACATATGGCTGACGTTATCTCACCTTCAAAAAATCGGCATGAACTTCAAAAACCGTTTGAAGTTCACTAGAAGATCATGAAGACACATCGCCGTATTCGATGTTGACAAGTGATTTTGAAACCCCCTGCGCAAATAGCTTTACTGAATTACCTTTAAGTGATCAATCGAGCTCTCAAATCAGCTTGTAGACAACCTTTCGAAGACCACCAACACTTCACTTCCAAATTATTTCCTTGACGATGAAGAGTTTCCTTCCCCGCATGGTTCTCGCCGCATCCATGCTGCTTTCGTCTTCGGATGGGTTTTCGTTTTTGGAGATAGGATCGAAGACGCCTTGCGACGCTCGTGAAACTATCACGAAATCCGGTCCGTCTTCGCCGGCCATCAATCGCGAGAATGATTCTCAAACATGGCAGTCCCGTCGTGATTCGTTTGCCTCTATCATGGGAGCCGCCACCATTGCTGGAGCAGCCGTGCTGGGGTCGCCTGCCCCTGCGTCGGCAGAGCCCGACTGCTTCAAGGATTGTCTCAAGAATTGCTTGATCATCGCTCCCCAAGTAAGTATGACGCATGGTTCCAACGGAACATTCAACGCTGCACCGTAGTTTTCGTGTGCTTCTTTGTGTGGCATCGGAGTTAGTTACGATTCTTGTTCTTTCTAAAAAGCAATTCTCTTCCTTGGTCGCACGCGGCGTGTACGCAACAGGACAAAACATATTGTACAGATACGTGTACTAGCTATTGTGCTCAGACTGATCGGACCGATGGATTGAGTGGAAGCGTGAGCGCAGAGAACGGAGAAGTTGGCATCTTGGGTGGAAGCTTTGGCCAAGGGACAGTTCCGAAGGGAGAAGATAAAGTAAGTAGGCTATCCTTTGAAGCAGAGCAAAGACCCAATACTAGCACGCCATACACTGTTTGGGTGTAGTCGGGTTCCGTTGACAGGACGCAACTGGTACGAAACTCACTAGAATCTTTCTTTCTTGCCGTTTCTCTCATGCATCGAACGGGAAAACAGCCACCATCAATTAAGCTTCCCGGACTTGACTTCTCAAGCGGCAATGGCAAAAAATTGATCGGCTACTAAAAGCAGCAAGTCAAATATGATATTAAGAAGATTGTGATAAGGAGTAAAATATGAGAATCCTTCGCTAGTCCCTACGTTGCTCCAATCCCTTGACTAGCGAGAGGTTGGGTGATTTTTCTTCTGTGATTTATGATTATCTAGAATATTTCCACTAATTCATCCAGTAGTCCGTATCATATGAATGACACAGTTCCTTTTGAAATTATCCCATTTATTTGTCATTGAAACCTTGTTTTCCCACTCGTCTTGTTCAGTGCCCATCCAAGAACGCAACACGGATCAATAACAACAACTTATCAGCTATATCCCCTTTGCAACTATTTATCCTTAGATTTGAACATGACATGCTCATTTGGACAGGAGCACTCGTTTTGCTCTACTTGTTCTTTATCTCAGTGTCTTTATTAGATTGCTGCAGCAGTTGGAGCTGGTTTCTCTGTTAGGAGGATGAGGTTCCCTTCATTACCATTGCATTTTTCTGTAATGAAACTTTGTCAGCATATGCAATAATTCATTTTTTGCTAATACTGTACATGTTTTCTTTTGCTGTCACCATGTTGCCAAATGCAATCACAAAGGCATATATTTACTATTTACAATGGCTCCTCCCAGTTAAGATAATTTTTGAATCAAAGGTGGTAACACATACAGACCAGAACTCATGGTAATCTACTAGCTACTACTGGTGTCACCTGGAGCCTCTTCTACTATTCTCAATACTTTCAATGTGGGACATCCACTTGTCATGGAGTACTGCTCCTTGATTCTTCCCTGAGATTTTAGTGTGGTTTCACCTTCAGACATACCCTACCACCAGTCTCTTGCTTATTGTGCTCAAGATGAAATATTCCTGCATGTCTTTAGATGAAGCAACATGTTTTTTATTACCTAGTAGTGATCCAGAAGTGACACTACTAGACAAACCAGGACCATCACTTGTTTTGAGAAAGATGCCTCTACTAGTTGCTCAGAGTGGGATCACTGCCAAAGGACCACAATTGGTGTGGATAAAGCAAGCACATAATGGCTCTTGAGCCTGAATCAGTTCCTGCAGCATCCTTCTTGTGTAAGAACTTCCCTTCTATAGCATTCCTTTGCAACATTTTTCTTGCATCAGTACTATCATACCCAAGCCTTTCTCACCCATTCAGTCCAAAATGGAATCAAAAAGGAAGAATTTGTCTGCTGTTAGTACACAAGGAGCAGTTCTCCATGCCTTTCCATCTCCCATGGTTGCCTGGAGAAAGCTTTCTACTAGTAGATGGTGAATTAAGTTGGGCCAGTACAGGTATGCCTTGAATCTTCAGTCTTCCAACCATAGTATCCGTGATTGCAGCCCCTTGGTCTGATCTTGGCAACATCTGACATCACAACAGTCTACTCCCCCTTTTAATCAACTTTCCTTTGAAGTAGTTCACTTGTGGCCCACCATAGCCTTGATAAGGTCAACTTGTTTCATCCACACGTAGACCCAAGAATCCAGCATTCAACAAGATATAATTAGTGTTGTTAACAATGCTCTGGTAGATGTAGTCAAACTTGTATGCAATATTACCACCATTTCAAACACCAATAAAGGGGTGTTCCTATCCTTTGATGCCATCTTGTACAAATCATTGTGTTTGCAATATCTTTGCAGGCACCATGGATAAACAAAATGCCATCAACGTAAACTATCTCTGGAAGTGTTACTGCTGATGGAACTTTGCATCCCTCTCCCTTGTTGGCGTCAGATATATGAACATTGGTGTATTATCACCTTGTGGTAATATGCAATCTTCTTCTTGGGTTCAATTTGATAATGCTGCACTTCTCTATTCAGGAGCAATTAGAAGGATCAACTTAGGATAGAAGAAGAAGAAGGCACCTGCATTTTCAATCCTCTCTTTTTTGAGACCGTGTTGCTGAAGCTTCAAAACATCCAACATTCCCTTCGTCTTCTGGAAGCACCATATTGTACCGAGAGGCATAGTTCCTGCTAAACTTGTTGTCTGGATCATTTACTAATTATCCCAAATCCCAACCCAAGTAGTGAAAGTACCAACAACTACTGTATGTTTTTTCACACTGTCACTACTCACCTCCTTGTCCACTATCTCCTTGACTCCAGGATTTCCACTTCAAGTCTCATATTTTGGCCTGTAGTAATAGGGATGTCAGCCACCAGGATTGTCAACATCTTTCCACTCTGCTGTCTCTGCTTTGCTAATTTTTGTTTCCTTCCTCTGGTATCCACCTTGGGGCCTGGGATAAATATTGTAAGAACCAACAGTGGTTCTGTCCTTGTAACAGAAGAACTCAGCCCTCCCACTCAAAAACCTGGCTCTTTTCCTGTGAAATGCCTTATCACTCATCCCTAGCAGTAGTCTGTATCACAATTGAGTGCCTGAGTGTCTTTAAGAAGCTGTTTCTGTTTTTGTTCTTGCCTGTTGTGATATTGTTGCTGGTGTCCTTATTTTTTTCAAATGCCAATTGGGTATGTTGGAGAGTGGCATTAGTATCAATAGTAGTATTGGTGATAGTGTTGCTGATAGTGATGGCACCAGTAATACAATATCCTCCCATTACTAGTGGTAGCTGCTTTTTGTTGTTGCAGTTATCCCTGCTGTTGCTACCGTTGATGGAATTGATAGTATAACAAATACTATTACTCTAGCTGAATAGGAGCAGTGTAGCCAATAGATGTGTTGCTGATTAGTGTGGTTGGTGATAACAGCAGCCTACTATCCAGTACCAGTAGTGAAGGGATAGGGGGGAGAGGGGTGTTATCTGTCAGTTGTCAGCAGAGACCAGGGAGTATCTACTGGCATTATGATAACTTCAGTTCTCAGTAACTACAAGGAACATAATGCTGATGAGGATGTGTGTGTGTTCAACAATGGACAGATAATACATACTAGTTACTAGCAAGATCAAGCAATATTGGTGCAATATGGGATAGCAGGTAGGTGTATATATTCATCAAGAATAGGATTTGGACAAAACACTTTTCAACATTACAAAAATTCCGTAGAAAAAATGGTGTAGTTGGACAACAAATTGTGATGGATTATAATTGATATTGGCATGAATGCTTTGTTTTATTTGGGAAAATGATGGCACAAAATCCAAGGTCTGAGCCTTAGATTTAAAGACCAACTGCATACCATATAATCATCCTTTTTGAAGATGCTAATGATTTCTGGTACTAGAGGACCTTTGTGGAGAGTTTCAGGTTAATGCCACATTGCTGTTCCGATAGTAGTTCAGCGGCATTGACAAACTGCATGCCACTTTCACCAATACAAATGTAGGTGGTCCTGCTATCTGGCTCTGTGGGATTGCAGCAGCAGTATGATTCTTGTTGTACAGAATGGGTTATTCTTGTTATTGGCTCCTGTTACTAGTATTACTACTAGTAGCAGTGGTACATGGTGCTAATGTGATAGAGTTTGTAGACATACTAGTAGTAGGAATGGTGATAGGACAACAAATAACTACTAGTACTACTAGTAGCAGTACTACTACTAGTACAACGCAACCACCACCACTACTAATAGTAGTGGAGAGATCATATCTTAGTTCCTTAATATCATATACCTGGCTACCAAGTGTACATGCAGCAGGAGTTGTGCATTTTGGGCCCTCATTTTTTGTGTAATAACTACTTTTTCTAAAAAACTGAATTGGTCTAAGTTTACAGTGGGGCACGTACTGAATTTTTGAATCCCACCAGTGGGACCAAATAGTCTTGTGCACATGTGCTTTCTTTTGCTTCAACATGTGCTATTGCTGTATTGGTAGTAACATTACTCTTCACAAAAAATAACCCACATTTTTTTAGTAGTGGAGGAATTTTGTTGGAAAGGGGGATGTTTGAGTGGGTACCGGAGGGCCATGGTGAGAATGAACACAAAACTCAAGTGCCTTTCCAGCACCAGACAAGCTTATGAATAGGGAGGATGAAAGATACTAGTACTAGAACTGTGGTACACCACTGAAGAAAAGATAGCTCTATTACACCTTGTGTACTAGTACTACTAGGAGTAGTGTTACTACTACTACTAGTGTCCTAAGTTTTGTTATTTCTTGATCTTCTTGTTGGTGTTGTTCTTGTTCTCCTCCCGCTCATCCTGTTGTTCTTGTTGTTGTTGCCCTCCTCCTCCACTAGAGTTTCACTGAATGCTGTTCACTGCTCCTCTCTTCAGCTTACTGGAACAACCTACTAAGACCCATTGATAAACAAATTACTGGTGATGATTTTTTAGTAGATGTTCAGAATTAAGATTTGTTCACTTTGATATTTCGGGGTTAGGTGACTTACGGGACGAAGTACGAGTATTGTAGAACGTCTAGGGACGGCCTTTTAGGAATACGAACTACGAACCGTACGTAGTTACGAAAAGGCCAAATGCCTTCTCGAATAAATCATGCGAGCTTTCGGGAATTAGACAACGAAGTTTTTTCATTATTTTAATCTTGAGATGATTCATTTTCCCTGCAGCTGCGCACAGATCTACAAGTGGTTATGGTAAAGTACTGAACGACTGCCGTACCCGAGCGCACTTTTAGAGTGGTCGTGCGGTTGAAATAAATAAATAATGAAGACACTTGAATGATTTCAGATATGAACGTAGAGTCATGTACTGTATCTACTCACATGAACGGAGGACCAAGGACTGCATGACACTGCCGGGCTGCGCATCGAACTGATCGGGTCTCAGTGGCACATGTCCTGCCAAAAGAAACACGCCAGACATTTGGACAATTGAAGCCAACACCGTGTCAGAAAGTCCATAGCAACAACTTAGATTCGGAATATAACACAATCGTAAAGTAGATAAACGACTGATGCGACAATGACATCTGTGAGAGAAATGTCGCCAGGGCGGGAAGAGGCGATTGAGACTCTCGTCGATATGGACCCGCAGGGTGATTTCTATCGTGCGACCCGGGTTTTGGTAAGTCTTTATCGTGTTGATGCGTACTCATGGAACGATCCGGTCCGAGTATCTTTCTTCTATTCTTTCGCTCTGTAAAGATTTCATCTGCTCGCTAACTCTCTCTCTTCATTTTCTGTTGATAACTACGTTCCTGTGTTGCTGAAACCAATGCCAATTCTACAGGAGGAATCAGTCCCGCAAGCTCTTTCAATGCGACCCAACTTGCTCACCAGAGCAGCCCTGGTCGACCAGGCTTCTGCGCTTTCAATATACGAAGTGGATGACCAAGAAAAATACGATTCCCTCTTCGGAAGGAGTCACAAGAACAATCACACATCGTCGAACTTCTCTGGCCAGCGACTGCAAACCCCGGAATTGGAGACAAAAAGAAATAGGATTTTTCGCCATCACTGCAAGATTTTGGCTGCCAAGAAGAAAAAAATGGACGCTACAAATAAAGCTAGTTCCAGTAGTCCATCACCGCGATTGGTTGCAGCGTTGAGACGAATTTACGGGAAGTCTGGTGTTGCTACAGCTGGGAGCGGTGAACAACAATTCCCTGCCTCCTTCAAGTCGTTGTTGAATTATGTCATGAATCATCCCGCTTTTTATGCAAGTGAAGAAAAGGAGGCGACAAGAGCGGCAAGCTCACCAGCTCCTGCAGGTTGCACAAGCGGAAAGGAAACAGAGTATACATTGGAATCGTTGATTGCGTATCTGTGTAAAGAAAGGTCGTCAATGAACACTTCTCAATCTTCAGCCACATTCGAACACGGTTTATTGATTACAATCTTGTCTGTCCTTGTCGAGTACGAAGCTAGGGATGAAGAAGACCCAGCATCCAGCAAAAATAAAAATCAAGAAGCCTCGACAAAACCCATTACCCCAGAGCAACAAGGTCATCATCACGATTCGACCAACGATCCGGCTATTTTAGCCCCCTTGCAAGTAGGATCGATTATGAATATGTTGGAAATTGACGAAGAATACGAAGAGAGTAATGCACGATCTTGGCTGGTAGACACCAATCTTATTTCGTACTTGGGAGAGGCCGCAGCAACTTACGAGGATCGGATTGAAATTCAGAAGGCCCGTCTCTGGAAGCGGTTATCTATAGCCAAAGATAGCGATGCGAAAAAAAAGGACTCGATGTTTTCAGAGGGGGAAATACAAGAAGCTGATGATGACTTACCCACTTCCTCACCCACCACTCCGGCTCCAGTATCGGTTAGCAGCCCTCAGCCGGTAATAGATACTCCAGCTACACCAGATGGAGTGTCAATCAATGCAATTGAAGGATCTTCTGAGGTTCTCAGCGCAGCTGCCCTTGAGCACATGATATCGGCAGTAACTGGAGGGGCAATATCTGCGCATAGAGAGAATGGCGAGGATGAAGACAATGCTGGGAGTATAAGATCTGGCAGTGATAATCATGATATGGGTTTTAGGGTAGAAGATGAACCCGGAGCCCAGGAATTGATGATTGTAAATGATATAGACGACGAAGCTGAAGACAACTTAGAAGAGCACGCTTCTTCGTGTTCATCTTCGTCTTGTTCTTCATCATCCGGTTCTGCTGCAGAACCTGAGAATGAAGACAACGAGGATGAAATCGAGGATGATGGCGAGGAAGACGGCATCACACTGCGACAAGCATTGGCTCTCAGTATGTTGGAATCAGCAGACTCGTATTCGAATCAAATCAATGTATCCACAAATGACGCKGAAACAGGTTCTGTCACCGAAAATATGGGTCCTTTGACTCCAGTTACCAAGACTCCGCTTTCGAAGGACAAGAATGAAATCTATCCAGAGAGCGAGGAAAGTCCTTTGCCAGCTATGCCTACCCCTCCAACTCTCAGCACAAATACTGACGATATTGATGACTTGATGAATACGGATTCGAAACAATTAGACCCGGCTGCTTTAAATGCTTTTGGTTCTATTCCAGCTGCAAATGTTGTTGTCCAGTTGTTGACGCACATGAATTGTGTAATGGGACGTCGTAAGTTCACGACGAGTGACGAGCGCTCATCGAAGATTGAAAACAAAACCACCAATGTCAATGTAACTTCAGGTGGAACAGGATCGTCCTTATTTGCCCCAAAAATTTTACCCGCCCAGGCGGAAGTGTCAAAGGAGAGGCCAAGTGATGATGTTGCCACATCGTTACAGCTGTTGGTTTCTATATTCTTGCTGACAATTGACATTAGAAATGACGCCATTGAAAATCTTAAGCGAGCGGTTGCACAGGAAAAACAATCATCGTATGACGATATTGATGAAAGAAGCAGTGAAGAAGGTGACGACCCTGCTATTGCACTGGCGTATATCGAAGAAGAGAGTTCAGACTCGAAGCCATCCCTGGAAACCCTAGAAGATAAAGGGATGAGAAGAAAGGCTGCTGCTGCTGCACAGGATGCCGCAGCTCTATTGAAGTCTCGACGCCATAGGACAAATACATGGAAGAAACAAGCCGAATTATTTTCTTTATGCTGCTTTTTGTCGATGGAAAGTCTTCGTCGGTTCTTGCAAGGTGTAACCAGAGACTGGTTGCGGGGACATAAAGGAGTATCAGCAGCCGATTGTCACAAATTATTGCCGACCAGCGTTATCTCTAAACTATCAATCGGTCTTGCTTCACTGTCATCAATTGGAATCATAAATTCGCTCCATGCTCTTTTTGATGATAATGGTCTTGAATTGAACGACACAGAGTCCGTTTTTCTGCACACTAAACTTTACAAGAGCTCTATTTTGCTCTGGGGTGAAAGTGTACCTATCGTATACCCGTCACTATCTGCACAAATTGAGGTGTTGCGGTCTTTGCTTGTGGAGTGCTCCTCAAAAAACAATCAGGGCTCAATACAAAATCGATTACTGGATAATCTGACGTCGCTGCCTCTTTCAGATTCTGAACCTTCAATCCATAGATTGCAGACTTTAAGTCGACGTTTGCGGGTCAGTGATTTACTCGACCGCTTTGTGTCCGGACCAACGCGTATGCCCGCAGACGGAGCTGGATCAGAAAACGATGCGGGAGGGGATTTGATCGAAATCAGGGAGCCCAGCTGTGCACGGGCTGTAATTGATGAAATTGGATCTACTTCTATTTTATCAACAGGCTTAAAGCGGGAGCTCCAAGCTATTTACCTTGCGTTGTGTCACCGATATCACGTACGTGTTTTGTTATGGGATGGTCTTGGAACCTCTACCGATAGAGAAGTTATCGACTCTTCTACATCTTTGACTAGTTCTTCAGCCGAGACGTTTCGTGTTTACCAAAGTGAGTCCAACAGGATTCAATTTGACGGGACCAAATGCTCAGATAGTATGACAATTGTAGCCAATCAAGACGCCGTAGGTTCTTCATTGCCTTTTTCCTCAGTGAATCAACGAGCGTCGAAGGTATGGGGAACAGTACTATCATCTACAGCATTTACGCCCAAAACTGGGATTTATCGATGGGCAATTCGGCTTGACCAATGCGACCGAGGCCATGTGTTTATTGGCGTTGCCACCGCGCAGGCAAGTATGCGGACCTATGTTGGCGGCGATAAGTATGGGTGGGGAATGATCGGGACGCAGGCTCTGTGGCACGACCGCCGAAAAGTTCGTGGCGATTACGGTGCAACGTTTCGAACTGGATCAACAATCATTGTCACGTTAGACACTGATGCCGGAACTATTGCCTATAGTTCATGGAAGGACAATTCATCAACCAGCTCCTACTCTATCGATCAAATGGTCCAAAATATATCGTCGCCTCGTCGTCATGGACAAGGAGTTGGAATGGTCGAGGATTGGGGTATAGCATTTGAGGGATTACCTCTCAATGCGAAGCTTTACCCAGCTGTTGGTCTTTATCAAAGGGACGACAAAGTGACATTCCTGTCTGTAGAGACAATAGATGGTTGTCGTGGCGGAACTGGGGGTTTATCTGATTCAACAGTGGGCCTTTGTTACTATCCGTTTTCGTCCGTTCAATCAGATACTAAGAACGAAATGGTTCCGTTCGAAGACAAGGTGCGGTCTTTCAATGACAAAGTTCAATTGGATGGAATGCAATATGTGATAAATTCACTTGATCGCATTGTTCGGAGCGTTCGAGAAGGAACGGACGACTTCCTATGGAAGTCCCTATTACCAAGTTTAGCATCTGCAATATGCCTTTTTCCTCGTTCGATACCAGTTATTTCGAAGCGCTTTGGTTTCACCTTGTTTCATGAATTATCGAAAGCAATTTTAGAGCTGAACACCTTGAAAAATACCGACTGTATATCAAGAGGACTTTTTCACAAAGGTGTCCAAGAAGGAAAATGGATCATTCGAGCGACAGGATCATCGGGATCAAACTCAGATGCCGAAGAGTACGTAGTCGATGTAGTGGCCTCATCTGAAAAAGATGCTTGCATGGGATTTGAAGGAGCAGGTGTTGGAACAATAGGGAAATCGAAGAACGGTCTTGTCGCGATAGTCGGTACCGTCAAAGGCTCTTCGGTTCATTTCGTTGAAGAATGGAGAGATGCAAATGATGATGGTTTTTCTTCGATCACCACCGAGGATTCGTGTTCTTCTTGTGTGGTGAATGCAAGAGTGAATATTGATGGAACCAAGTTTGAAGGGACTTACCATAACATTCAATATGGCACCACTGGTACTATTGCGGGTTTACTATGCCACGAGGAATCACCGAAAGCTCCACTGTTCCATTCGAGAGAAACAACCGCCCGGAGTACTGACTTTTCCTATGGGGGAACGGCAGGAAGGGTTTTACTTCGTCTCGCTCATGGGCATTTAGCTGTTATAATTGGAGAGGATTTAGTGGACGACAACCCGCAGAGTGTAGATAGACAACTTGGCTCGAAAGCTGTACAAGAAGAGTGGAAAGTCCAATCCCGCAAATTGAGGGAATGTATAGTCTCAAAAACTTTCGCTGGCGCCTCACTAACCTCAAGCAAAGATCACATCTCGGAACATATTAAGGACTTGAAAGAAATCTACTACGGATCACAAGCTTGTCGAAGTCATAATTTTTCGCGAGCACTAGATCTGCTGATAGAAGACACGTGCTCGTCAACGGTCACCAAGACAAACTCTCCCTTATTGGCAAAAGAAACAGTCAGCTACGTGGAGACCATGGACGCTGAGATGTGCTCCAAATTTTGTGGTACTGGTTCACTTGCTGCTCTATGTCCGAGGGAGTATCGTCATGCACGTCACCGAGTAATATGTGCGATCGTGGCCCATCTCAGGAAAGGACTCAACAAGGCCAATGACACCGATTTGAAAAAGATTTGGAAATGGTCATTAAGGTTGATGGAAGACGGAGTTCGGCGTGCACTATCGAAGAACCATGATATACCGATGAGGGAGAAGGCTAGGAAATGCTGCGAACTATTTTCCAACGTTTCAGAATTACTCATCAGCCTCGATGCATCTCATTCAACTGAAGAATTTATTGATGTGGATACGATAGGAACCGACTTCTCGAGACTGTTCAAGCTTATCTCGTCAATGAAAGACCTCGATTTACTAGAAGAAGAGTTTCGCCGATCGACGAGAAATACGATTTTGCGACTGATCCCGATACAACACGTTTTTACTCTTCTTGAAGTGCCTTCCCATTGTTCTGATGCCGTCGAGTCTTCGCTTGTAGTAGTTCCGAGGTTGCTTGACCGAGGTCGTTCGGGGTCACAAACACAATCAGAATGCAATTATTTATACGACCAACTAGGTTGCCACTACTCATCGAATACCTCTGGTGGATCCAGTATCCTTCGCAAATTGCTTCAAGACCGTGTCCATGAACTCCTAAATGTTATTTGTGGGTTGATGAAAGGCGCTATAGAACGAAGGAAACAAGACGGTCCTTCTGCATCCCTTGTTTCAATCGATTCATTGACATTGGCTTGCATCCCTTGTTTGACGGTAGTACTGCGGAGGGCTGACGTTGGACCTTTTGTGCTGCACAGTAAATTGTTGGGTACTATTCCTTTATTTTTGAACACCCACAGGTCATGCCTAGCGCCATACGATACGACGACACCTTTGGTAGACGAGCAAAGTTCAGTCATCCAGAGTTTGCATAACATCTGTCACGCCGAAGTTTCAAGAGCTATACTACGGGCCATTGTAGCTTTGATGCACGTCATATCATTTCAAGCGTGGAATATGCTTGGTAGTAAATCTGGATCAGAAGAAGAGTTATCTTCATCATGTCTTGAAGTTCTTTTTGATGAGTTTCACAATTTGAAACCACTTGTTCTGGATGCTGTGAAAAAGTCTACAACTGACAGAAGAAATAGCCAGAGTAAGATTCAGTGGGAAAGGTTTTGCGAGGAACGAACCAGTGCTGATTCAGTACAGAAGACTCTAACGAAAACAACGGCATACCACCATGAAGTTGGTAGGTCGGGTGCCACTTTCCTTCGAAAGAATGGTGCACTGCTGATGATCCAGCCAAGCAGTCCGTCAAACGCCTCGGGAACACGCAGACGTACTTCATCCCAAAACACATCTGAGACATTCGTTAAAGCGCAAGGCTTATTGATTCCTCAGTATGTTTCACACTGGGTACACATTCTGGTTGCGTCGGTCGGTTCCACAATTGCGCTAGATATGATTGCACAACACCCTGAATGGATTGCCATCCTTCTCGATACCATTGAGATAAAAAATGAAGCGAGGCACGAAGGAAAAGCATTCGATCCAAAAATAGATGACCAATCGACTCGAATGCCTGCCAGGTACAGATGCCGCATCCTGCGTCTTCTGTATCGAATACTTGAAATATTGCCACCTTCAGAACACATCATCAGAAATCTATTGTACCTCGCTGGCTCAAGTTGTGGCACAGTCACTTCGAGTATAGACGAAGACGAAGCGATGGTTTCGCAGGAGACAGTATCACTGCTTCGACGTCTCTATTCTCCAGCGCATGCTTCTTGGCGAGCATGCATCAATAGTGCATTGTACAGAGTTCTTGCGACAGAACCTGATTCTTTAGAATTTTACGCCAGGGTTGGTGCACTATGTTTTTTAAATGGTTCAATTGACTCAATCAAGAAAGGGTCGCGCGTGCTGTTGAAGCCACCTGCAGCAGCCCCCTTATCAGCAGACCGGCAGTCTTTATCAAATAGCAAGAGTCACTCAAGCGCATTCTCTCTGGTGAACTCTTCGCCTCACCACTTGGTAGGTAACGGCACTGAAGGGATTGTTGCAGGCCTTTGTCGCTATCAATCTTCTGCTGGTATAGTGAGTAATATTGACGCAAAGAATGGTGTCTGCGAAGTGATTCTGTTGAGTAGAAAGAATACCAACCTTCAGCATTCAATCGAACAAAGATCCATGAATTCACGACATGGATTGACAGTTCGAGCTCTGCGAAGTCCAATGACAGATGTTGTCCAGGCTCAAGAAGTTCCTATTTGTATCGACGACTCAATAGAGGTTGGAAAGATCGTGTCCAGTCTTCTGGCGGAATCTCTTGGAATTTTACAGCGGGAGCGATTCAGCCCAAAACGGAAGGATGAGCCAACTCATTTATGTGATGTTCGCTCTCGTACGGTCTATTTGATGTACGCGCTTATGTCATTGAGATCTACAATCACACTTCTCTCTGATGAGAATATCGTGTCAAACTTTCTGAAAGGTACCAATTCACGCAACGTTCTCGCCAAAGCTCTTCAACTTGCATTTCCTGACGACAAGTCATCAGAAGAATACAACGACTTGATGGCAGGAGCAAATGATGTATTCCTTTCATCGTTTCCGATACTTGAAGTTCGATTGTTACATGTGCTATCTCTTTTTCATCGCCTTTGCTTAGAAGCCAGTGTTCTCGAAGAGACCCCAAAAATGACATGGGAGAAACGTTTGAATGATATTAAGAGAATAATGGAACGAGAATTTACGAAGAGTGATGACGAGGGCATAGACGACGATTCTATGACTGAACACACTAGAGTTGGCAAAATCTCCGAGGTTCAATCTGCAGCATCTGCGGGTGTTAGACCCTCTGCCAACACTTCTGGAAGAACCGAGGCATCGGGCAATCGTAGGGCATCCCAATCCACAGCTGCGAGCGACCAAAGCGAAGAGGACGAAGAAAGTGAAGAAGCTGCTACCGCTGCCGCTCATTTGCGAGAGGCAGCAATAGCTCAAATGGCTGAACTAGGGTTGCCTAGGTCTTGGTCTGAATTGGCATTACGAAGAACAGGCGGCACAAATATCGAGGCTGCCGTTCATTTTTGCTTAGAACGTGGTGGAGAGATGGAACGGCTTTTGGCCGAAGAACGAGAACGGGAGCGACAATCCTCTGGAACAAGATCTAGCAGACAACGAGCTAGTCGTATGGAAGCTTCGAGCCATTTCCTTCGTCAACTAACGGAAATGGGATTTCCCAGTCGATGGTGTGCTGAAGCACTTAATGCCACAGGAAACAATGTTGACGAAGCCTTGACTTGGATATTAACGAATGGTGAGAGACTTAGCGCAGAAGACGAAGGGATGGAAGAAGACGACGATGAAGAGGACGAAGAAGACGTTGACGGCGATGATGATGATGATGATGATGACGATGACGAAGATGAAGATAGCGAGGTATCGAATGATCCGGATCAATCCACTTATGATAAAGAACGGTTCATGACATCCATTGGCGATGCGGGTGAAAACAGGTGCAATTTGGTCGAGAAAGAAGGATGGGAAGGCTCTATCATTCCCCTCAGGTTCATATCAGGGCGCTCAATAATTGATCAAAAGACTTTGACGGTTTCCGGTTTGCCAACGGGAGGTTTCTCCTCAGTGGGATCCAAAGGTGTGATGCTTACATCAGGAAAGTGGTATTACGAAGCGATTCTCGAAACAGCTGGCTGTCTTCAAATTGGGTGGGCAGATGGAAGTTTTGCCGGGCATTGTCATTCCGATCGTGGTGATGGATGCGGTGATGGGCCAAGCTCCTGGGCGTATGATGGGTGGAGAAGATACCGTTGGCACTCAATGGCTACAGAATGGGGCTGTCGCTGGGCCGAAGGAGACGTGGTCGGTTGCTTAGTTGATATGGACGAAGGTACAGTATCGTTTACATTGAATGGAAAAGCTGAAGAAATAGGGATGGGCGTTGCCTTTTCAGGTCAAGGATTCCGTCCCTGTGGAGGAGTTTATGCATGCGTAAGCTTTAACAGAAGGGAGAAACTTCGACTAATTTTTGGTGGATCTGGAAGTGCCGCTTTCAAATACCCTCCCCCAGTCGGATACCGTGGGGTCGGGGAAGCAGTGCTCGAACGAGTCCAAGAAAGAGAAGCATTAGTGTCAAAAGAATCAGTACTCGGGGCAGAAGTTGAAGATGCATGTAAAAAACGATTCTTATGCGATTTTTCAGACGGAGAGCATGGCCACGAGTTAATGGCTTGGAATCATCGATATTATGGCTCTGAAGCCTCTGTCCATTTAGGGTCGGGGCGCTCAAAACATTCGAGCTCTAATCCAAAAAGTTCCTCGTCCTTGAAGTCAACAGAGAACATTGCAGCGTATTGTGTAGCACGACGTCTTAGGACAGAGTGGGCGAGATGTGGGTCTTTGATTTGTTCTGCCGAAGGAGAGAACGAAAATCCAATCAACGAGATAAAACTAGCGGAAGAAATGGCAGATGGCCTTCGTTTGGCTGGCGTTGAAATGCACAAGCAGATGTTAACAGAAGGAATGCTCCTGTCTTCGTTGATTACCCGAAAATTGTTACTACACGTTGTCATCGTAGCAGGGGACAATTTTGACCCCGAGACGTTTTTGGAATCGGATGAAAGTAAGGAAAACAGCATTCTTCGTTTTTGGAAGATGGTCGAATCCAGTGCGAGTTTACGCTCTGCTGGTTGGATTGGAGAGGCTGGTGCCATGGCAATAACTGCGGAGGCATTAGGTTTAGGAATATCAAGCACCGAAAGTCTTCAGTCTCGGCTGTCGACTGTAGAAAGAGCTGGTTTTGTTTCTGTTGGTGATCTTGACGAGGGAGTAATGCTTCCAGCCGGAAGTATCATCCAAGTCCTAAGTTCAGTTATAGACTGGGATACAGACAAAGATATAAGAGCATCGACAGGTAGCTCTCTTGTTGCAAGCGCTGAAGCTGCACTAGGTAGTGGCGGCGGCGGTGGTGTTTTGACTTTCTTACTGAAAGGCTTGCAATCATCAGTTATAAAATCAAAAGAATTTCGACAGGTTGTAGTTGCATGTATCAGGCGTTCGGTAAGGCAACTAGCTGTTGTTGAATATGAAAATGATGATTCTACTTCCCCCGAAGACGAGAAAGATGACGAGGATTTGGGTGAGAGGAAGACAAAAACTGAAAAGGATGGAGGGTCGTATCCTGATGCCCGCTTAGTTTCATTTTTGACCGGGCTTTTGTTGAGCACACCTGTCGCAAATGATATTGATGATTTCATCGACATTCAGACTGAATTGTTTGAGGCTTGGAGCATAGGTTTACTTTCAGCATCGCTTCCGTGGAGAATGATCTGCGCCTTGACAGCTGCTGGTATATTGAACCAGTGTCCAAGAGCTCTGTCAGAAGTGGTAAAATCTACTTCGACTTTGTCATGTTATTACGCACGCCTTCGGAGCACAGTATCGCGCAGATTATGGGCGGAAAGAGCCGCAGTTCCTGTTTGCTCTCGATATTCTCAAGCAATGGTAGAACTTCTTTGCAGTGTCACTCGGGCAGTAGCGAAGGAAGACGTCGTTCTACCCATCTCATTCCTTACCACGTGGGATAAAACCGAAATGGATGCTGCGACACCCCTTCCCCTGCCCAGTACACATACGGGTTGCGACTGGGAGGTTCAAGACGGTTGGGTTTCGAGTGACCGGGGTTGGGAAATATGGACCGGTACGATGAAACGATTTGCCGTTGACTGGGAAACCCCATCGCGATCAGCTGTTCGTACATTGATGGAAGGCGGAGACGGACCCCCGATGCTCCGAGAAGGATGTATTGTAATTCGAGGAATGGATTGGGATGAATCAAAATATGGGAACGGTGATGGAAAAGATTTATATGAACGCGAAAAAGAGAAACGCGGAGAAGAAAAGAAGAAAAGTGAAAAACCACCGAAACCTGGCGAACAACCACAAGTTGACAGCCATGTCAATATAGAAGAGAAGAGCGATCCCATAGAAATTGGAACAGAGGAGAATTCAAATCCCATGACCAAGGAAGGCGAATCGGGAACAAAGGAAGTGTCAGGAAAGAAGAAAAAACATCCAAGCCTAAAATTGCCGATTGGAACAGTTCTTTCGATCGAACCGTGGAACGGCATTCCTGGGATGGCTCGAAGGGTGAGATGGCACACCACTGGTACTGAAGGTATTTATCGATATGGGGGAGATGGTGGATGCTACGATATTAGCCATATCGAGGTCAATGAGAGGGAGACACGCATCCGAAAACGGCATCCATTACCGGAAAGTGCAGAGCAATGTGCATCGCGGCACGGATTCGGCGTAGAAAAATCGCAGAGCATTTTGCTTCGATTGCGGCCTTCGACAAAAACATCTATTGAGGATGGGACAAATCTAATCAAAAGGGACGGAATACTAGAATTGCCCGAGTTTTCATCCGGGATCTATGTTTCCTGCGTGTTCAAGCCAGATGGATCATTTGTGTTGGAAGAAAAGCATCTATTGTACGGATCAAAAGACTCTGGTTGGCATGCTAGGTTTGGAAAACCGTCCTATGTTGCAGGTACTGTAACAGAACTTAGTCCTTCCTCTTCTGAAGAGGAACTGTCGCAAGCTAAGATTGACAACAAATTTTCGAATCAATCATTATTTCAGGAATACACTGGCACCTCAGTGCACAACGTGGAATACCTAAGGAATCGTGAAAATGGAAGCCAAATCCAGGTGAAAAGTGAGTTGCGTATTTCTCGTGGGCGACGTGATTCTATCGAAGATTCACCGCTCGGGTCTTTCACAGAAACGTCGATGCCTTCTCCAATTCGTTTTGATCGAGATTTCCATGCATCTTCCCTCTCATTATCGCGTGATAATAGGACGCTATCCTGTGGATCATCGGATGGGAGAGGGACTGCATTCGGAAATATTGGATTCTCGAAGGGTGTGCATTATTGGGAGGTAAAACTTGAACAAGCAGAAATTGGAAGCGTTTTCATTGGTGTTGCCGAGAAACCAAATGAAAATGGTTCAGGGTCCTCGCATGCCCATGATAGTCCACCGCGCTTAAATAAATGGCACGGGTGGGGTTTTGTGAATTTCAGGGCAACATACACAGCAGGGTCCGAACGGATATACGGAGCACACTGTCATTCGGGTGATGTCATTGGTGTGCTGCTTGATTGTGACTCCGGTCGAATTAGCTTTTTCTACGACGGGCTCAAATATGGTGAACATATCCTCAACGATTTAGGGTGCGCATTCGAAAATATTTCTCCTTTTGGGTTTAATGTTGATGGATGCGGTAGTGGTGGTGCAGGTCAAAATGCACCTAGCGGTATTGAAGGAGGTCGGAGTGGAAGGTATGTTGCTCAAGGTTCCGTGAGGCCAAGAACTCTTTGGCCTGTTGTCGGCCTTAAAAATCAAGGTGACCGAGTGAGTTTTTCACCGAAATGGAGCTCGAGCTATGGTGTCGATAGCGCATCTACGGTACGAAATATTCTCGCAACAGACGAAATTATAAATTGTGTTTCGAAGGCTTCAGAGATGCCAAAGAATGTGCATACGGGAACAAAGGCTAGATTTCCTCGTTGGTTCATCAATGAAGCCTTCAACGAATACGCACGTTGGCGTTTGAATTCTTGGTGTAGAGCAAACACTCGTGAAAATGGACCATTTTCTTTGACAACTTTTGGTCTCGACATCGAGCTAGATTCTTCTCCATTAGCCTGCGCCTCCGCAAGTGCACTCCTCGGTTTGAACCATGCGCTTCTATCTGGCGACCGCGTTCGTCTGAAAAGAAGTGCTGGTCGAATTCTTGAACTTGCTGAGGAAGCTGTCGTTCTGGGCGCATATCAAGGCAGACTCTATTACAAGATTGTGTCGCAGAAGAGCGAAGGAGGGAGTCTAACAGAGGGGGGTGGGCGTGCTTGGTTCTGGGATGAAAGTGAAGTTGTGGATGGACTGGAATTAATAAATGGTTCAAAGGCAAATGATATCGTGTTGCCTCTAATGGACCGTTTTCGATGTACCTCATCCGGAGGTTTGAAAGTAGTTTACGAGGATGGGGCAGTTATTCGGTCAGATCTTGAAATATTCGAAGGGTCACTGAATTTGGGATCCATACCGGTCGGGACAGTCATACCCAAGGTTGATATCCTCGAGAGGCGCGTCAATGCATGCGGTGTAATTCGTTATCACATACGCTTTGAAGAATTCGAAGGTTGGATTAGCTCAAAAATTCGTGGAGGGGAAGAAGAACCTATTGTGATTCCGAATTTTCTGCCGGAAGAAGAACAGGACGAGACAGAGAAACGCTTTTCAACATCGAGAGAGTGTGCATTGGAATGGCAGAAAACTTACCAAGACACTATCGCCAGTCAAGATAGAGGAACGATTGATTTTGCAATTGAAAGTATTGCTTCTTTTGAAAGCTTCGCTACTGAAGGAATCATAGATGGATATTCTGAAGTCTCTTCTGATGCTTTCCTCGCCCGCACAGTCAGTGTTATCTGCGACTTTTGTGAAGGGGGAAGTCCTTTAGATGCTCCTTTTCATGAGGTTGCATCTGCCATTCGGTACGCAATTTCCTCTTTTCATGATAGGGCCTTCGATGGAAAGATTTTCAGTTGTTTGCAAGCAAATCGGGCTGCCTCGACTGCCTTCGAATTGTTGGGAGTGCAAAAGCTACCTAGTGTGCAGTCTATCATGGCACGCATCGCTATGCTAAGGGCATTCAATAGACGTGCTCGAATTGCTCTCCCGTGGCTGTCTGTTCGTCCTTGTCAAGAGGGTTCGGCGATTCTAGGCGGAGTGTATGGCTACGGTGCTTCAATCGACCGTGCACGTCGAGGTTCAAGCAAGGAGTCTCTGTCACAATGGGTACAACTCCCTTCAACAGCAAAAGGTATGCGTGATGTGCGTGGTATGTTGTTTACCTCAGTCAAACAAGATCTCTTGCGAAGTATTACAGAAGCTACTACTACCCCAACTCCAATCTCCCATGACGAATATGAGCTTCCTAGAGAAATTAGAACAGTTCGGATTAATCGGCTAAGAGCTCGTCGAGTTATGTCTTCAGACAACGTGGAAACCAAACGAAAATACAGTGTCTTCTCCCAACTCCAAGAAGAGACGAAGGCGTGGGGCGGATCTGCATTTAGGAGAGGATTTGTAGCGAAGGGGCATGGTGGGCAGAAACGAGCATTTAAGATGAAGTTAATCGGTGAAGGAGTGAATGATTATTCAGGGCCGTATCGGGAAGCTTTTGCTGATGCGATCTGCGAAATCCTCCAGGTTGATGCAGATGGAAACGGCAGCCTCGGCGTGCTAGATCCAACTCCGAATAATGTGTCTGATATCGGAGAAAACAGAGCGTTGTACATGTTTTCTCTGAACAAAAATGATCCTTCCAAAATTGCCACGGTGAAAAAAACGATGACACGTACAGAGAGATCCATACGATCAGCCTTTTCTACTCTTATAACTGCAGGGGATGAATCTTCTCGACAGGTCGAAGAAGCGCTTGTTTTCTTGGGTAGATTAGCTGGAACGGCGTTCCGCCATGGCATTCCATTAGACCTACCGCTTCCTTTGGAATCGGTTTGGAAAGCGATGGTCGAAGAGGATTGTAAAGTTGATGAATTGAAAGAAATAGATTTTCTTGCATACCAGCAGCATGGTTGTGAAGAAGAATCGATGTTACTATCGTGGCAACGTAGAATGTTGAACTCATTCATTGATGGTATCTCAAGTGTTTTACCCGTGGAAATATTCTCTATTTTTACTGGTGAAGAGTTGAGGGATATGTTTTGCGGAAATCCTGATATTGATGTCGATATGCTACGAAAGGTTGTTGAGTACGAGGGGTACACTGAATCAGATCAAGTCATACAATCCTTTTGGGAAATCCTTCGGGAATTGACAAACGAAGAACGGAAGCGCTTCTTACAATTTGTATGGGCACGTAATCGTCTACCCTTGAAAGAGTCCGATTTCGATGCACCATTCAAAATACAGAAGGACAACGGCAACGATGGAGACCAAGCGCTTCCAAGTGCCAGCACATGCTTTTTCTCGTTGTCGCTTCCGGCGTATAGAAGCAAGGAGCAACTCAGAGAAAAATTACTTTTTGCCATAAACAACGTGACCACTATGGAGACTGATTTTCAGACAAATAGTGCTGAAATTTCCGAAGGCTACAAAGAAGTTTGAATTCTTTTCTTTGAGCAAACGAATAGCACCCTTAATTATATTCATGAAAAATCAGATACAATTGGAGTTCATTCTTGATCCCGCGATGTTGCGTGTTACTTTCCATTGAAAACTGCCTCTTGATGAGTCAGGGGATTGCCTACGTGCTTGCCTAATCACGCTTACATCGAGCAATAAATATCGTATGCAACTCGTACTACAATACTCATTAAAAACGGAAAATAAAAACAATTAATTCAAATAAATCCTATCCACTTATTTCGAACACTCTGGTATCCGCAGAAGTGGTTGGAATAGTCCAGCCATCTGGCAGTACCTTGGGATCTATTTTCACCTTCAATCGCAGTAATAGAAAGTACGAGAAGAAGATCGATGAATGGATCAGACATCGATTGACATTCGCAGGAAAAAAGGACGTTGTTAGCTGACGATTATTGGTGATTTTACCACAGGGGGTGTTTATGGATTCGGGCCCCATCCGATACGAAACACAAGCTGGAAACAGCCGAACGCGCAAAATATCCAACTCCAACTCCACCACAAGATCTCGATATTGCTTACATTGAAGACTCCCGCCTCGCCCCTTTGTCGTATCGGTCGTTTCAGATATGCCACGCGCTTGATTTCAGTTACTATCCGCCCACTGTCCGGACCATACGCCACAACCTTTCGTTCAAAGTCGGGAACACTTCGTTCCGAAAGCGATGCCTCGTAGGTTTTTCCGATTTCGACAATCGCTACGATGTTTCCCTTGGAGAATCCTTTCGGCATTCGTTTCAGTGTCTGGATTTCTTCGTCGCTGATTCCCGGCTGCGCCGCCCGGATGATGTCCAGGTGTTTGCCACCGTCGGGGTAGGTTCGCTGACCGACGTGCAACAGCATTTGCGTTCCTTCGCTGTATTCGGAAAACATGGTCCCGTTTCTGGTCTCCAGCGTCTTGTATCCGTTCGCTAGCATCGCCGCGAAGGGATTGTTCATGGAAAAACACCGAAAGAGTGCTTTGTCCGAGGAATCTTCGTCCCCCCCGACCCGATCGACGTTGAAGGCCATGTCTTTGTTGCTGTTTTTGTAGTCTTTTCGGATCTGGAACGTGACACTGTCGCCTTCTTGTATGCTGCTTCGCGGTTCGGTCGCTACGTTGTTGAAATGAAAGAAGATTTCCTTGGTCCGTTGTTTGCCGTGGTCTACCCGGTACTTTATGAACCCGTAGTATTTTTCGCGCTTCACCAGCTTGACAACCCCCGTGAACGTCTTGGACGACGCCCGGGGAGGGCTCTCGAATTTTCTCGGGACGTTGATCTTCATTTCTCCGTTCGATTCCACAATGGTGTTCGGGGTCTTGTCCCATTCGTTCTGGTAGAGGTCCAGCGCCCGCTCGAAGACCTCCCCGGTGTTCAATCCGTCGGGGCAGTGGACGCAAAACACCCCCATGGCCGCGACCGGTTCGCAGTTCCCGTACCTCCCGTCGCGGGCGTCATCGAAAAACATCATTTCGTGAAAGGGGACCTTGGTGCTCCGCTGGATCTTCGCAAAGTGGTTTGTCTTGATCCCGGGGAAGATTTCGATGGCATCGAAGCGATCCCGCAGCTGGAACTGATCCAGGAGGTCCTCGGCCCAGTCTACCTTGTTGGTCCGGGAGGCAATGGCCAGCATCGGTTTTGGTTCGTCTTCCGTTCCGCCGAGGCCGGGAAGGATGTCTTCCAGGACCTGCCTGGCGCCCTCAAAGAGTTCGACGTCCCTTCCCGCTATCGGGATCTGGTTCTTGCGTTCGAGGCGCCGCAGCTGGTAGAGCTCCGGCGTCCAGAGGGTGTTGTCGAGGTCAAAGACGATGACCCTTGGCAAGGCAAGGAGATGGGTATTGCCGCTGCCGCTGCTGCCGGCATTCCTGCCCAAAAGAGGCCTTTCCGCTTGGCCGGGAACGTGCGGTGTGTTCCCGCGAGTGGATCCGGCGGAAGACAGGAAGCACGCCGCCGGGTCGATGGCAACCAAGAGGCCCGCCACGATCGGGAGAACGGCGCTCGCGGCAACGGAATTCCACATGGTTCGTTTCGTTGCGCAAACTGAAGATCTTTCGCGTCGATGGATTCTGTTCTGTTCCGTCCTATCGTTGGAGCCGTCCGAGCTGCAAGAACGGGTTGCCGAAATAGTAGTGTGCCGCTACCGTTGTTTCCGACCGCCGTCTCGGTTGGGTTGCCGCACCGAACGATGAAATAGGGCAGGTACTACTAGTAGTACTTTTGGTTGACTACTGGTACTCGTACTCGTAGTACAAGTACTGACAGCATGACGTCAACCAACGTTACATATGCCACTGACGAGTTTATTTCAAAAAATCACTCCACAAATGTTCTTCGTGACGCCTGACTCGTACAGAAATAGCGTACGGTACAGTAGTACACGATACACGACGGAGTGACAGCAGTGGCAAGAACATACCTACGTACGGTACTTTGTAGAAGTACTGCCGTACCTACCATACGAAATGTTTCGTGAGTCAGACTCGTGACTTGGATCCTACGACCCACACGACTAAGACCTGAACCTCCGCCGAACTCGAAGAGGGCCAACAAACACCATTTTCGACGGACATGGTATTTTTGGTACCGGTAGTGATTGGCTACAACGAAAGGACTACAACAGCAACCGACCGGAGATTTCGTTTCCCCTAGCCCTCTGGAAACGCCGGAAGAACCACCATGACCCATACAGTGTCGGCAGCGATAACGGCTGCTCGGGCGGCGGCAGCGAGGGCAGCGACCGGCTTTTGCATGCCGGGAAGGGCCACAGCCACGGCTTCATCCACGGCTTCATTGGCCACGGCTTCATCCACGGCTTCATTGGCCACGGCCTCTCCTCCCATGGCACGCCAGCACCAACAACGGTGGTCGTCGGCGGGTGCCGCCGGAAACCGCTTGTCGGGGCGTTCCAGATTTTACAACCACGTCGGCACAACACTCCTGGAGGTCGCGCCCTGGGAAGAATCCGGGGACGGAACCTCGTCCTGCGGCGACAGCGACCGGGTGGCGTCGCCCATCTCGGCGGGGGTCGACGGCAGCCGGTCCGCAACGGGGGTCCACCACATCCCGAAGGGGGACCGGACCACCAGGTCGCTCGCCCTGGAGGCCATGCTGGTTCCGCGCGTTCCGGGAGCGGGACCGGCCCGGGAAACCGCTACGAGTGCTGCCGGCGACGGCGAGAGCGGCGGCTCGTCCCCGTCCTGGTACGGCGTCACGCTGGACGGCCGAACCGTGTCGACGCCCATGGGGCAGACCCTCGCGGTTCCCTCGGAAACCCTGGCCTACATGATTGCCGCCGAGTGGGACAGCCAGACGAAAGACCTCCAGCCGTCCAGCATGCCGCTCATGACCCTGGCCTGTACGGCACTGGACCAGGCCGCCCACCACCCCCGGTTCTACCGGGACACGGCCCTCAAGTACCTGCCGACGGACACGGTGCGTGCGATGTGTTTCTTGTGGGTGTGGCACGAAAGCGTCGCGTCGAAGCGGAGCACGGTGTTCTAGGTTTTTCTGGTCCGGTTGGAGCCTTTGCGCAACGATTCACTCACTCACTCACTCACTCACTCGTATGTTTGTTTGTTTGTTTGTTTGTTTGTTTGTTTGTTTGTTTGTTTGTTTGTTTGTTTGTTTGTTTGTTTGTTTGTTTGTTTGTTTGTTTGTTTCCTCGTTCGACCAATGGCCCGACGACCGGCCCGCAGACGTGCTTCTGGGCCGATCCCACCGAGGACCGCCTGCTGCACCGGCGCCAGCAGCAGGCCTGGAAGGGCCTCCACGGGTTCTGCGCGGACCGCCTCGGCGGGGCGAGCCCCACCACCGCCTTTGGGATGGAGGGGATGCTCATGTCCCGCAAGCGCGGGGACGAAAAGCCGACCGCCGGCCTCCCGCACCCGGGGGTTCTGGTGGAGGCGGCCGACTCCTGGACCCGCTCCCTCGACGCCTGGCAGCTGGTCGCACTCAACTCGATCGCCACCCAGGCCAAGTCCTTCCTGATCGCCTTTGCGATGCTGGAGGGCGCGGGCATCGCCCTCGGGGACAAGGGGGAATCCAGAGTCGCCGCCCCTCCCTTTGCGGACGTTTCCGACGCCTCCGAGGCGAGCCGCGTGGAGGAGGAGTTCCAGATCAGCGTCTGGGGCCTCGTGGAGGGCCAGCACGACTACGACAGGCTCAATTCCTCCATCCAGCTGCACTCGGCAAGCTTGTTTGCCAAAACGATTCTGCTGGAGAACGCCGAGTAGCGCTCCGAGCGGCAAGAAGCGACCCACGGCGAACAAGCTTCCTACGGGTCCGCTGGCCGATGGAACGGTGCTTTGGGACGGTCAACGACAAAATCGAGGAACAAACAGTTTTGCAGTATTTAGATATCGAGTAGAAGCATTATGTACTGTACTATTGCTATGATGCACCGGTAACGCCGCCTGGGGCAAAGCCAGCTCTTTTTCAAGCGCATACCGCAGTAATCATCCCTAGATCGCTTGCAATCCTCCACGTCCGCACTTGCTCACCAGAGCCGATCGATCGGCATCAATCGGAGCTCAGAATGGCAAGACTCTGCTGCAGCTGCTGCGTGTACCGATTTAGGGCCGAGACGATCTGCTCGTCCTGGTTTTGCCGCTCTTCGATTTCGACCTCCAGTTCTTCCTTCAGCAGGGTCAGCTCGTTCTCGATGCGGTCCTCGTAGCGTTTCTGTTCCAGGGCCAGCCGAGCCTCGTTTCGGAGGATCGAGGTCTCCAGTTCCTTGAGGCGTTCGATCCGTTCCTTCCGCTCCGTTTTCCACGTGTCCTCCGTTTGCTTGGCGTGGTCCTCCACCTGCCGCAAGAGAATGCCCTCTCGCTTCAGGCGGGCCCTGCGCTCCATGTCCTGGTCTTCCTGGACCCGGGAGATGGCCTTGTTCAGGTCCGATGCCTTGCTGTTCACGACCTCGATCTGGTGGTTCGCTTCCGTGGCCCAGCTCTCCTCCAGCCTCCGCACGCGTTCCTCCAGATCGCCCAGGCGGGACTGCAGCTGTTCGTTTTCGTCTCGCAGCTGGGCCTTGATGCGTTCTTCCATTTTGTGGACCTGGCTCCGGCCCAGTTCGTCCAGGGCGGTGGTGGCGTCCACCCGGCGTTTGGTTTCGGCCGCCAGGGCGTCCTCTAACCGACCCATCTGGACCTTGATGTTCGCGATGTGGTAATCCTCCTTCTCTTTCCGACTCTAGAAAAACCACACAAAAGTTGCCCAGCACATCAATATCCGAGAAGAGGCAGCGAACAAGAGTTAGCAGGCAACAAAAAGCAGTCTCCGATAGTTCTTCCCATCTCCTCTGGTAAAATAGTGTCTATGTTCACGGAGTCTAGCCCATCTTTTTAAAAAAACGCAGGTGTATTGTTGGCAGCACAGCAACAGCGAGGATCACTTACCCGATTCCGTTGCCTCACAATGTCTTCGAATTTTTCGTCCTCGTTGGTCAGTTCTCCGAACGGCGTCACCGGTGTCCCGGGGAGCGCGGTCGGCGTAGATCCCACGCCGTCCGGGGCACCGGACACCGTGGACAAGAAATTCGGCGTCGCGGGGACGGTTCTCTCCGCCGGCAACGGCGGCTTGTCGCCCGAACCAGCGCCGCGGGGTGGCAGCGGAGCGGGAGGCGCCGCATCGGCAGGGGCAGAACCATCTCCGCCGTTGGTTTCGCCTTGCTCCCCGGTGGCATGCCCCGTTTCCGCGGGCTTCCCCGCCCCGGCGCCGCGGGAATCCTCGGGTTCTTCGGCGTGCTGTTCGGGTTCGGAACCACCGCCCTCCGCAATCGGGCTTCGGGGCGTGTCCTCGTCCTCGTCTATGTCGTCCTCGTTTGCGTCGTCCTCGTCTTCCTTGGATTCATCCACGGGTTCGTATTGGTCGATCCGAGAAACGTCCAGGTCGTCTTCGTCGTTGGCATCGTAGCTGTCTTGCCACCCGTCGTCGTTGCCCGGGTCCATCTTACTCTCGACCGCAAAGTCGTCGTCGGCAAAGAAGTCATCGTCATCGGACCAGGTCGCATTGTCCTCTTTCTGGCTGTTGTTATCCGACATTGTCGCGGAATCGATCGGTTTCGTTGTTATCAACCAACTCCTGTGTTATAGTGCTGTGGTGGGCCTTATCGGCAGCGACGGAAATCAAAGTACTTGTAGTTGCAAACAAGGAGCAAGAGCTAAATCAGTTAGGATGCGAAAATGCCTTTTCGTGTTTCGTTCAACCCTAAAAAATGAAATTCGAGAAAAAATAAATTAGTCACGCCGATTTCAAAAAATCAGGACTATCGTTGTACTTTTCAAGTTTCAATACCCTATCCGATAAAGTACGTACCGTACCGTACGCGCCGGTACGGCACGATAGAATTAGTACAACTACTCGTACTTCTATGTCCCTGTCACTACGGCCCGCCCAACGGTACCCGTACGTACCTTATCGTACTGTTGGTCGTAAAATGCATTTCGAAAACCCCGTATTGAATACGTACAAAGTACGGACCGATACTAGTACCGTACTACAGTATGCGAGCACTAGTACGTACGTACCGTATGTACCTACGTAGCCGCACTTTTCTTATAACCAAATCAGGCCTGAACTCAACGATCATGATCCGACTCGAACCAAGCAACACCATACCGGTAGTGCCGTCTAAACGCTAGAAGTAATTCCAGAGCTTTCTCTATATTCACTCATTCGGACCTTCGGTTACACGAATCCAAATACAAGGCTCGATGCGTTGTATTTACAGTGGACCCCTTTCTTTCTCGTGTTCTGGTGGACGAACGAAATACCATTTGGAAACTAGTTTCATTCTACTGTAATACTATAATTACCAGACTTTCTATCCATTTTATCTAAAGAATAGCCATCACGGCGAGGTCTTTTCCGAGCTGGAAGTCCCGCCTTTTTGATCGGCAGACACAATGTCTATGGGACCGGCATTCTCGATGACGGGCGACACACGTTTGTACCCAACAAACCTTGCAATGGGCGGCGTGAGCGCGACGGTGGCTCCGAATCGGATGGGTTCCGTGAACTTGGTCGCGATCCATGCGATCGCTAGGTTGCCGATCGATGGGTATTCTTCCACCATGGGTGCAACGGGTTTCGTTAGCGTGTACGATTCCAGGAATTCCACGAGGTGCTTCACGGTGGATTTCGCTTCAAGGATCGTCTCTGGATCGGCAACACCGCCCGGATCGGTCGGCGAGGAAGTTCCCGTGATCAGAGATATTATGTACATCACGTCCAGGTGACCGGACTGGACGCTCATAAACAAGCCGAGGACCGTCGAACAATAAATCGCAAAATAAGTTCCGAAAAACACCACTCCGTATTTCTTCATCATCGCTTTGAAGGAAAATTCATCCGGGGTTTCTATATCAGAGGCCACAAGTTTCGACGGCTCGGTATTTTGGTTTTCTTTCTTGTCATTGGGGCTTTTTCCGGTTGTATTAGAGCCGCTGCGGATAGTTTCGCTCGATTCTCGCTTCTTGAATTCGGATTGATTTGACGAGCTCACCGTAGATGCCATGCGGTGAGAAGGCACGAGCTGCAATTGTCCAATGAAAGGGCCCCAAAGCCGTTGGTTTTCATTGAATATTGTGTTTCGTATCACAGTGTGGTCACCCAGCGCGCCGATCCCCGAGAGTCGCCTCCGGGAAGGCAACAAAAGGCCTCTCGTATTCATCGCGGTCGTACTTAGAAATCTAACAGTCGACTTTGTTGTATGAAACGAAAACTTTTGCTGTCGGTGAGTCACTCCTTGCAGAAAACTATCCCCGACGGTCACTGCGCATTCTCTTGACGTACTCGAACCCATGACAGAGGACGACACTCGCTCGGCGAATCTGCGACAACCGGGTCTGAGAGGAGTCATTGATTTTATCATTCTGGATGTATTTGTATCGGAAGAAAGTTGGTCGACTAAGGCTTTCTGGTGGTCACCCAACTTTTCATCGTCGCGATTGACGATGGGTTCGAAATCTACGAAGATTAGCTGGTGTTGATCTTAATGGAGAAGGAGGTCGTTGCTTTGTTCCCGACCATGAAATACTGAATTGTAAATAATGGAAAATGCGGTGCCAAATGTTTCACTCTTGCGACTAGGGTACCGGTACAACGTACTTTAAAACATTACGTACGAGTCGTACCAGTATCACTACTAGACTTTTGAAATAAAATGAGGAATGAGTGAATCAGGGATGACGTAAAAAAAGGTCTGGGTGAAATGAATGAAGAGCTTTTCTTAAAAAGCACGAGGAGAGGAAGAGTGAAGAATCTGAAGCTCGAAAATGCTTGATGGATTGATTCGATTCGATTCGATTCGATGACTAGTGATTCATTCATTCATTCGATTCTATTCATGACTGGAGTTCAATCTTGACTTGTGGGATGAGTTTCTGTTGCAAAACAGAGCGCGTTGCGCGCCCCTGTTACGACCCCTGACCGTTGAGAAGTTGCGATACCGCACTCGCTCTATTTCCTCGGTACCTCTAGTTACAGAAATAATATGTTGGATTTTTACTATTTCTCTGGTTTGCGCGGCACTTTGCGCTTCGCCCACAGTTTTCACTTAGGCCTTAACGGCCGATTTTACCAATAGTCGATCTTCCTACGGGTTATCAGTCACGCATTGGTACCAAAAGCCGATGAACGTCAAAAAAGACCATGCACAACGGAAACTCAGAGAATGGTTCCGCACCGCAGAAACATATGCTTCGTGAGATAAGCGTGCGGTCACAAAATAATGGTCTAATTCCAAAAATGATTGTCAGTCGACCTGATGGATGTTGGCAGTACTATTTTCTGCTCTTCGTTTCGATACCGTTATTCTGTATGTGCTTTTCGTTGAGGAAGCAATAACAGACAACTTTTACAATTTACGCTCCGTGAAGTCGATGAATGATAAGCGACAGGAAACTGCTGGTTTCTTACAAAAAACTTCTGCATTTTATGTGGTATCAGTTAGAATAATATTTTGAAAACGCCATTTACTTCCCACCCTTGGTGCAAATCAATACCTTTTGAGCAACTATGGCAGACGACAACGTGGATGATGCATACGATGATATTGTAGACGCAGATTATTTCAGTGAAGAAGGGTTTTCGGACTATGTTCCTACAACCATAGATCCATCACCATGGGTCTTGTTGGTGTGTTCTTGTCTTTGTTTGTTGTTGGTGTTTCTATTGCCCCTCGGCGTTGCCGTCATTCAGCGTAAACGACGAAGAGCTTCCCACAAGAAAGTTCTGGAAGCTGGCTTTGTGATGAAGCAAGCAAGGTCAAAGGATCAAGTGGAGGATCAAGTGCAATCTTCTGCAAACATCGAAACTGTATTGGATTCCCATCTGGTGATAAAGTCACTTGATTCTAAGGAAGAAAAACTGGTGCGATCTTCAACGACAATTACCCTCGATAGAAACGATGTCGTCCTGGCCTTGTGCCGTCCCAATATGGAGAACGAGTCGGATCCATTGACACGCTTTTTGGAAAAAGAAATGGAGTCCGAACAATTTGAAAACACGCCGGTCGAAAACTCTTCGCCGTTTGTCCAAGACGATGCGTCATGGTCCACTGGAGTAGAACTCGCATGGAAACCTGCTGGTACAAAAATCGAAGACGAAAATCAAAGCGGAGAATGTTTTCAATCACATGGCGATATCGAAACAAAGAAGTCCGAAAATGGCATGTACGCTTTGATTCAAACCGATTCCGGAAATATCAAAGTCCAATGTATTGAAAGCAAAGAAATGAATTCAAAGCTGAAAGAGCTGTTCGATCAAGTCACTTCAAGATCGCAGATGAATTGCCGTATTGCGGAGAAACCTACATTGCATTCGGTATCAGAACTTGGGGCGAATAGTGAAAAACTCGAGTTACTCCTTCCTGCCAATGAGAATCCATTGATTGAGATTGACGATGATCTCCCAGTGATATCGCAACCACAGCCACTAGCCCGACCATCGTCTTCATCAGAAGTCCGTTGGCCGCAAATAGACGCAACATTATGTGGTGAAAGTAGCTTTGAAGACACACCGTACTATCTCTGCACAGATGTTCCTTCGATGATGTGCGGAAATGATAATACACAGGATACCATTCCGCCTCAATGTAGCACAATGTACGGAGATGACGAAGAAGTTGTGGTACATGATGCAAAAAAAGTCCTACCCTTTCAGAAAGCGAAGAAATTTTCTGTTTATCCAGATCTTGTCAAACGAGCTGTTCGGTACATAACATCTCGGTCAGAACGTAGACGAAATTCTCGGTCAGAACGTAGACGAAAAAGCGAGTACCGCGAAAATACTAAGCGGCAAAAAGCCATGGAAAATCTTTTGTACGATATATATGGCAACAGAGGCCCAACGGTTTCAGTGAATGTTATTCCGAATAGTGCAACAACAACTCAAGTGTCTGGTGTTAGTGGCTCCATCCTTCAGAAAAGTGAAAGCGAATCTATTGAAGATGATGGAAGTGAAAGCGATAGCTCCTCCTCAACAGCAAGTGAAATGACCGAAATCACACTATCAGATTTGAAGGTATCCGATATTCCACTTGAGGATATCATGAGCTTGCAGTACGACGAACACGACACTGATCCCTCTGCACAAATGGTTGCCGGTTGGCAAAAAGGTTACGATTACAAGACAGAGACAGAGTACTATTACAATCTAGCAACTGGCGAGAGATCAACGGATTGTCCCATAGATCCAGTGCACTCAAAGCACCAGATTGACTACGGACTATTTGGTTCAAGTTCTAATAGACCATGGATCTGTTACTTTTGCTCATCTGGATTCTTTCGAAAGGTTTTCAAATGTCTTCGTTTTGATGACGAAATGCAGAAAATCTTGAAATTAGCCGGCCCTTACACGAGTATCTCTGTGCTGAATTGTATATTCTCAGCAATCGAGGTCGCAATTGTAGGTAGAGTTCTTGGGACCAACGCACTTTCAGCATATTTTGCAGTGGGATATACGATCGACTTGGGTACAATATTTCTATGCGGAGTAATGGAAGCGCTTCATGTTACATGTTCTCAAGCTATTGGGGCAGAAAACTATAAATTGGCTGGTCAATATCTACAGTTAAGTGTGTGGATTCATCAGCTTTATTACATTCCATTCATGGTATGCTTTTGGAATCGTTTTGATGACGTTATCCTTTGGCTAGGGTTCAATGACGAAACTGCGGAGTCAGCTCTCTGGTATGCGAGGTATGCGATGGTGTACGATTTTGCCACTATTTTCCATGATACGATTTTAAGCCTGCTGGATGTAAATGATCAAGAAAATTACTCTGCCATTTTGAGCAGTTTACAAGGAGCGTTCTCGTGCTTTGGGTTACTTATCTTTGTGAACATTTACGATAGCGTCCAATTGTGGATGATTGCTGTGTATCACACCTTGGTAATGATCTGTTTCTTCTTGATCAATATTATAATTGTACTAAGGATGGGTTGGCTAGAGGACTATTGGCGTGGACTGATTGGCAGCAATCCGCTGTCGATGTCTTGGGATAACCTGAAAGCTTTTAAAAGCCAAGCACTTCCTTTATCCATTGGATACATCATTGAATATGGCGAGTGGGAGGTGCTCTTCATTTTTGCTGCAACTACAGGACCAGCAGAAATGGCTGTTTGGGGTTTGCTCGGAGAGATTTGGAGTCTTGCGGAAGAAGTTGGAGGTGCAGTAACAGCTGCGTCTGAGGTTCGAGTTGCAAAACTCTTGGGAGCTGGAAAGCCTAAGCTAGCGAAATACTCAGCTGAAAAGTCTATGTGTATCGGATTGATTGTTTCCTGCTTTATGGCGGCTCTTGTTCTATCATTACACTCAATGATCCCGACGTGGTTGACAAACGATAAGACCTTGCAGTCAATGCTGGAAGAGCTACTTCCTTTGGTCTGTCTTGGAGTTGCCGTATTGGCAGTCGGAACTACGAGCTGGTCAATATTATGTGCACAAGGTCGTTCCCATTTATCCACCTCGGTATCTGCAATTGGCAGCGTATTTGTTTCGCTCCCCTTAGCCTTTGTGTCTACATTTGGTTTCAATTTTAATTTAGAAGGGCTCGTTGCAAGCCTTATTGTCGGGTACAGTATAGCGGGATTTTTCAATTCACTCTTTTTGATGAGCTCCAATTGGGAAAAGATATCGGAAAAGATGTCGAAGGGTACAAAGAAAAAACGAAAGAAGCAACCTGTCGACATAGAAATGGTCAACACGATCAACGCATGATTGTGGTAACGATATGGCGGTATCATTCATTATTTATTGATTTCTGGCTTCACGATTGACGTCTGCCAAAGCGGATCTCGTTAGTTTTATCAACATCATTGTCATATGCGACATTTATCTAGTTTCTGTGAAAGAATTCTCCTAAAAATATTCATGTACGATATCTCTGAATTATTTTTGAACTGATACTTGCGTTGCTGCCCAGTCAAATTGTTATCGCTCATAGCTCAATCGTCGTACTTGTATTTAGTAGAATTGCTCGCCATATCGATCTTCCCGCCAGTTCGGGACATACCGTTGAATGAACGTTTCCGCTTTGTTTTTTCATGCTGGAACCGTTTCCCCCGAACCTGAAGCAGTTTTTCGCTCGATCTGGCGCCAAAACCATCATTCCCAAAGACGCCCTCGTACGAATTGTCTGCCATAGCACCTCCGTCCTTCGTGGCCATGTCGCCCCAGTACGAATCGTCGACTCGCTGGAACGGTTTGCCGGCAGACAAAGCCTGGGCACCGTCCGTTCCTGCTTCAACTTTGATTTCTTTGTCCTTCTTGATTTTTTTCGGCGTCCACGCCAAGGCTGCTTCTGCAGCCTGTTTTGCTTTTTCCGCAGCCTTTTTGCGCTTCGCCTTTTGAAAGGCTTCCAAATCTTCGTCTTCGCTCTCAGAATCCGAAGATGAGTCGGAAGAGGAAGACGACGAAGAAGAGGACGAGTCAGAATCCGAGTCGCTATCATCGTCTGAGGAGACAGACGAGACACTGGAAACGTCAACATCACTGACGTCGCTATCGCTATCACTGTCGCTGCTCTCTACTGGCGTGACGATTTCGGACTCCTTTTTCGATTTCGTTACATCGGTTGTTTTCGTCCTTTTCTTAGGTGGTTCGTCGTCTTCGCTCTCTGATGAGCTCGAATCGGAATCGCTGCTACTAGAACTACTATCGCTATCAGAGTCGCTATCGGAGCTATCGCTGTCAACCTTTTTCTTGGTCTCGGTAATGCTAACAGACTCCTTGCTCTTCTTCACTGCTGGTTTCGTTTCTTCTTCATCAGAGGAAGAGCTACTCGATCCCGAAGAAGAATCACTACTGGTGCTACTGTCGTCATCGTCAACCTCAGGCGTTTTAATCGGCTGTAGCGACAATACTTTATCCGAGAGCACCGCAGGCAAGCTTTTTAACGAGAACCGTTTCAGTATTTCTTTCTCCAAGGCTTTTGACGATTTTGCAAAGTCTAGCTCCTGCAGTTGTTTAAGAATGGCAAGCGCCATGTCCTTCGAAGTTTCGTCTGCGGCTGGCATCGTTTTCGTAAGGTACAAGATCTGGGACAGCTGGTAGGTTACTTCTTCCTCGTTGACTTTTTTTTTCAAAGAAATCAAAAATAGAGGAATGCATCGGGAGGCGGAAATTATGTTCTTGAAAAATAAATAGCAGGAACGGTGTAGTCGTACGATACTATCTCTTCCATAGATCGAGAGCGCGCATGTTGTGTAGCACCATTGAAAAGTATCCCGTACGTAGTGTATCGTATCCGCCACTCACGTTCATCGCTCCCGCGAAGTCGTAACTTTTTCCGTTTAGGTTTTGTCGAGAATTTTTTTTTGTTGGATGGCGTTGCCTCGAAGCAACCGTGAGAAGGACCAAGGACAGACACAAGTCCTCAATGAAACTAGAGCTACTAAGTACAATTCCCATAATGGCAAGCTATTGGCAATCCCCGTACAAATACTAATAGAAATTTTTAGCTCATTTTTACAGTTAAATCCAGTTAAAAATGGCATCCAAAGGACGAAAATAAAAATATTTCCATTGTTTAATTTCTCGATGGTCCCAAAATATTTCTATTGGTGGTCCTTAATACTAGAGATAAGCACTGATTTGATATTCTCAGTAGTAAGTATCAAGTATAGAAATATTTTCGGACTTGTACTTTTTTTCGTGGAGGAGGGGGAGAGGGGAAAAAAAAGACGGGAAAATAAAAAAATTGACAGTCGGGAAATTGCCAATAGCTTGCCATTATGGGAATTGTACTTTGTAGCTCTAAATGAAACAGATCAAACGCAACAAACGGACTAGGACAGACGAGTACCTGGAAAAAATCGTTCCCAATAACATTGTTTTGTTCTGTTCATGGTGATACTACTACCGTGCTTCTACATTGATAGTGACTGTATTCATTCAGCACTGCTCGTTGCACCTTACCGGTATTTAAATAATTGTAGCAGTTTCTAATTTAGAATGGTCATCTGCTACTGGTAGTTAGTAATGCATACCGCAAATCTCAAGAAGATTCCACCACGACGGACTGATAGACTCCTAAACCTCCCAAGACAATCCCAATCAACATGAGAAACAAGGCCATCCAAGATTCAGCAATCTGACCAACATCTTTTTCAAGAGAATTGACAACAAGCTGCCTATACATAAGGGCTGGAAAGATTACGCATAGCAAAGTCGCCAATGTACCACCGCCAACTGTATTTATCACGCCCAAGTCGTGAAAGTAAATGGCACCGATTGTCAACAGGGAGAGTACCAGAACCGACACAAAATCCAGAAATCGGCTTGTCTGTTGATAATGAGGCACTCCAAAACCATCCAAAATCCCATCTCTAACACCAAAAAATGCAATCGGATACATCATCAGTGTAGAGAGGAACACACCTATTCGGCTTGCGGTTGCCAGGGGGTCATTCGGTGAATAGTTATTTAGTATGTACGAGGAAGAATTCTTGCCAAACGTCAAATACCCCGATCCAGCAATCAGGATCAAAATTATGGAAGCGAGCCCAAAGGACAAACCGACGGAAAGTGCGTAACGCGGGATGCTTCTCTCTTTTAGTTCCATGTAAAATCTCGGTGAATTATAATGCATGATATAGGAATTGAAGACCATGCAAACAAAGGGCAAAACCGTAGCGTTCCACAACGTCTCGTGCCCAAACGATGGCCGGAACTCTATCTTTGTCTCATCGTAATACATTCCCCCGAGTTGGTAGCTTTCGTCGTAGTATCGGATCACCATGGAAATTGCGGCTACCCCAATGCTCACCACACCAATGGTGGAATACGTTGAAATCGAATCGAGGTCTTTCACAAGACACATCGGTAGCAATATAAAGACGGTCAACAAGAGGAGACACGTCACTCGACTCCAATATATATGAAAGGTTTCGAGCAAGCTCTGCAGTGTTTGGCTGAGAACAGTGGTGGCCGAGAGATTGCCCTGGGCGGGCAACAGGGCACTCACTATTGATACCGCCAATCCCCCACGATCGCCCATGGTGCTTTCCCAGCACTCTCGATACGTAGCCGACCTCGTCATTTTGCAAATTTTGGCAATGAGCACGCAAAAATACCCAAACATTCCGCCAAGTAGTACGACCCACCCAACAGCTGATATCATTGCATTCGGATCGTTGCTATACGTAGCTATACCCTCCGACAACGACAACACTCCTGCTCCCAGAATGTTCTTGGTGATGGACATGACTTCCGAAGCAACGGAAGCCGTTCCGACTTGATCCGGGTCGGCCATGGCATCGGCCAGACTCGTTGTCGCCGACCTGGAGGCTCCTCCCACCAGGGCAGAATGGACCGATTTCCGATCGGCATGTTTATCGTCTTCTTCTTCATCGTCGTCATCGTCTTTCTCGAGGACCGGAACAGCGAGGTTTGAATTTGTTTCCAGGCTCAAATTTCTTCTCAAGCTCTCCAGCAAAGGATCGTCTTCAGAGCCAATTCCTTCTAATGAATTATCGTCCGAACCGTCGTCGTGAGACTCTAAATCGCTGGTTGCCGCGGACTGATAGATAGCCCCATAGAGACCGAGCCCATTTTTCTTCTTGAAAGTTCTGAGTGGAGATGGGCAATTGCTTGACTTGGAGGATAACATTGTACTCTCAGTCCAGTGAACTCTGAACTAATCTCACATGCAGTCTATTTGGTGTCGATACCAGCAACAGTTTTAGGAATGGATCTTGCCATCGGAATGTATTCTGAAAAGCGTTCATGCTTGAATTCAAACGTCCATGACTGAATACTGTATGACTCCTCTTCCACATTTTATCCGATGTTGCGTGCGAGTACGTACGTACCAAGTACTCGTACTACGTACGGTATGGAGCAATGCCGTTCGGAGTACGTAGTACGAGTAGTGTCGCTGCTTTTCTATTCTAGCGAACGATATCCTACAGTACGTAGGTTCCTACGCTAGTTCCTACGAAGATCTGTACAGTGTACAGTACTGTGCGTTGTCCGTACGTACTATGCCTACGTACTACTCGTACACCACAAAGTAAGTATGGCAGATGCCAGATCTTTTTGAAAACAAAACGAACGAGAGAAAGCGGTTGTTGATTGTCGCTACACCGAACACGTGAGAAACCGTACATCCAATATTATTTTCTTCGGCATCCTCCCATGATGAGGCCATTCAGTTGGAAGTGTTTCGGCGTTGCTGTATTCGAAATCACCATTTGGTTGTCCAGCATATCTACGTTTGGTCGAGGTACAGGCAATCGTAGATTATCTGTAACTGCTTCAGCTTTTCTACAGCGCCGAAACTTCAGCCAGGCATTCCAATCGAAAGGCCTTGGCAGGCAAATCACCAGCACCGGCACCAGCAAGTTGGTAAACACGTTCTTTCGGAACAAGAGTGCAAACGGAAGCAAATTGTTTGGTACAAAAGAAGCCATGGTGCCAACGCCCCCTGTTCCTCGTCGCGAAGAAGAGCGCGGTGCGTTTCATCGTTGATTGCCTTGCGAAAGATTCGACCACCCTAAATTTTTTTTAAAAATTGAGTCGTTTTGTTTCTCACGAAAGTGGCAAACGGTTGCGACAACGATCCTTTGCCCTATCCTCTCTTTTCTTTTCTCGTTTTTCCCGCAGTCGTCCATGCCGGTGTTGCACCGGAAGGATGGGATCCCGAGATGCCCAGACAAGCCAACGAATCTACCGAAAAACTGATGGACCCACCCATTCCCGTAAGCGATCCGTACGGTTGGCTCCGTGACGACAAACGGGAGAGCAAGGAGGTGTTTCAACACCTGGAGGCGGAAAACCATTACACGCAAGAAGTAACGAAGCACCTAAAAGGCTTGCAGGAGGAACTCTACCAAGAATTCCTATCGAGAATCAAAGAAACGGATTACACAACGCCCCGTCCCAGAGGCAACTACTGGTACTATTCTCGAACGTTCGAAGGCAAGTCCTACACCCAGTATTGCCGGGCCCCCAAAACATCGGAAAAGTACGGCACCATCGACTGGGATGGGAGCAAAGAGTCGCCAATTCTCCCGGGGGAAGAAGCATATTTGGATGTGAACGATTTGGGCAAAGACAAACCCTACTGCTCGATCGGTGGTATCAGCTCGAGCCCTTCCCTCAAGCTCATTGCTTATTCCGTAGACTACTCGGGAGACGAAAAGTACGAAATGTATGTCCGGAACCTTGAAACCGGGGAAGACACCCCGATCAAGATTCTCGGTGGAGAACAGGACGGCGAGCTCCTCGAAACGAGTGGGGATCTGGCGTGGGGAAAGGACGATTCGACCCTGTACTACATGACCATGGACGACCAGCACCGTCCGTACCGTCTCTACCAGAGAAAAGACTGGAACGGCACCGAGGCGACCGACACGCTCCTCAAGGAGGAATCCGACGACCTGTATTGGTGTGGCGTCGGCAAATCCTTGGACGGGAACTACATATTTTTCGAAGCGGCGTCGAGCGAAACTTCCGAGATTTGGTACCTCCCCACCAGCGAGGAGAAGACGACCTCGGAGATGCGGTGCATCGCCCCCCGGCGGAACAAGGTCCTCTATGAGGTCGACCACGGCCACGGCAACTGGTGGATCTGGACGAACGTCGACGAATCCCCCAACATGAAGCTGATGAAGGCCCCCGCGAGGGCCAACTGTGCGGACGACTGGAAGCTGGTGGAGGACGCGGACGGGAAGACGCTGTTCGACGGCAGCCTTTCGAGGTCGCTCGACTCGGTGACCGTTCTGGGGTCCCACGTGGTGGTCCAGGGACGGGAAGGTGGCATCCCGCGCATCTGGGTCCACGCCACCGACACCAAATCCGTCGAGCGACTCGAATTCGGGGAGGCCGCCCACGACGTTTGCCTCGGAGCGCACTACGAGTTCGATGCAAACAGCATCGCCGTCCACTACGACTCCCTGCTGACTCCGCCGCAGAGCCTGGAGATTTCCCTGGACAAGGAATCGGGTGGCGAACGAACCGTCCTGAAGTCCAAGACGGTGCCGGGCTACGAGAAAGACTCCTACGGCTGCGATCGACTGGAGGTGCTTTCGAGGGACGGAACGACCAAGATCCCCATTAGCGTCGTGTACCGAAAGAGCACCATGGAGAAGGTCGAGAACGGCGAGCGGGTTCCCGTCCACCTGTACGGATACGGCTCCTATGGGTCTTGCTGCGAGGCCGACTTTGACTCGACCCGGCTTCCCCTGCTGGAACGGGGCATGATCTACGTCATTGCACACATCCGCGGGGGCGGAGAGATGGGCCGGCAGTGGTACGAAGAGCCGAATGGGGCCAAGTACCTCTGCAAGAAGAACACCTTCAACGACTTTGTGGACGTCGCCAGGTTCCTGGTGTCCGGCTGGACCACGCCCGACCTTCTCTCGATCGAGGGACGGTCCGCCGGGGGCATGCTGGTGGGATCCTCGATCAACCAGGCGCCGGAGCTCTTCAGGGTCGCCATCCTGGGCGTCCCCTTTGTGGACGTGGTGGCGACGATGACGGACTCGACCATCCCGCTGACCTCGGGCGAGTGGGTCGAGTGGGGGAACCCCAACGAGGAGAAGTACTTTGACTACATGATGGAGTACAGCCCCATGAACTCGGTCCGGTCCGGCGCCAGGTACCCCAGCTGCTGGCTGACGGGCGGCCTCCACGACCCGCGGGTCGCCTACTGGGAGCCCGCCAAGTTCGCGGCGACCCTCCGGCACGCGAACCCCGGGAGCGAGCACCCGGTGTGCCTGAAGATGGACCTCAGCGCCGGCCACTTTTCCGCGTCCGATCGCTACAAGTACCTCCGGGAGCTCGCCATCGACTACTCCTTCCTCCTGGACCAGCTGGGGCTGGTGGGGGGCGAGGCCTAGCAGCGGGGTCCGCCCGCAGCGGGAAATCGGGTCGTTCGAAACGAAACAAAGATATAGTAATAATAATGCTGCTGCTACAACCGTACTTCGTAACATTCTAAAAAATAATGATGATGCGGCACAGGTACGAAATCACAATGGTAATGTAGGACGGCGCTTCTGTTCTGTACGGTACGGTACCGTACGGTACGGTATGAGTAGAAACTACGTCTGTGTGGACGATCGTATGTATAGAAGGTACGTACATACAATACGGATCGCCATGCCTTCCTGAACCTCCCTACCGTAACTCTGCCGTGACAGCCGTACGTACTAGTTCGTTTTTCCCGATCCGCGCCATCCCGATCCAAGATCCCGAGAGAAACGGAAACCCCTGCCCAGGTCATCCAATCCACGCAATGCGCGCGCCAAACCGTCACGGTTGGACCTCCGAAAGGGGTGATGATTCCGCCCTCCCGGTGTTGGTGTTCGGCCATACCGGTACGATAGCATAGGATATTGCACGATACCAGACGGTTGTTGGCGGAAAAGCGCGAACGACGATCGTGGATTGATTCGGATACGAGTAGAGTACGACCATCCGTACCGCACACCCAACGGCGACGAAAGGAAACCAAGATGCCCCGCTCTACACGCCGCTCGACCCGCAACCGCGGGTCCAACGAGATCGTAGCTCCCGGGTTCGGAACGAACAGCGACATCAACCAGCTGACGCGGGACCTCGGTGGAAGGTACGTAAGCTCCCTTTGCGGTGTGTGGTGCGACGTTGTGCCAATGGACAAGAGTGGATGCGTCTGTTCTCTGTCTCTGTAAATCGTTGCTTGTTCTGATTTGGATCTCTCACCGATCGGCAGCCTGCCCCGCAACGCGGTTCTTGCCATGATGCAAAGCGAGGGACGGGGACTCGCGGGGGCCTCGGACGGCGACAGGGCCCCCGGCGCGGCGCCCTTTGCGTCCCCCCAGACCTCCTCGGCCTGGGCGGACTTTTTGCAGGAGGAGGGCGGGTCCGCGGTGGCCGCTTCGTCGTCTTCCGGAACGGACGCCGAAGGCGCGGGCAAGGAGCCCCCCGCCAAGAAGCTCCGGCTGGACGGCGAAGACGGTTCGGGATCCCCCCGCGGGGGCACCGGGTACGACCTGTCCGCCCTTTCGGCGGGCAAGGAAGCGGCTTCTGTTTCGTACGGATCCCTGGTGCAATCGGGAACCATGGACTCCACCCTGGTGGGACGAAAGAACCTCCGGGCCTCCGACGTTGCCGTCTACCACCTGTCGGTCCCCACGGTGCTGATGCCCAGGGTCGCGATCACGAGGGTCTGCACCAGCTGCAACGCCGCCCACGCGGTGGCGATCGATCGGTCCAACCGGGCCTACGGGTGGGGAAGGGTGAGTCCTCGTGCTGCAACGACGCGGTGTGTGTGTGTGTGTGTGTGTGTGTGTGTGTGTGTGTGTGTGTGTGTGTGTGTGTGTGTGTGTGTGTGTGTGTGTGTGTGTGTGTGNTGTGTGTGTGTGTGTGTGTGTGTGTGTGTGTGTGTGTGTGTGTGTGTGTGTGTGTGTGTGTATGGAGCGCAGCGATTGTGGCCTCTGTGGTGTGGTGTTTGTGGTGGTGTGGTGGTGTGGTGGGTTCCTTCCCGAGCGAGTTCTGGTCTCTTTCGTGAACTGACGCGGTTTTGCTTGTTTCCGTTCGTTGTGTTGTGTTGTGTTGCAGAACGAGGGACTCGTGCTAGGATCGGAATTTGGCGAAGATGCCAAGACCATTCCGACACCCAAGATCATTGCCTCGGACATCGAAACGGCTGCGCTGGGAAAATCACAGTAAGTCGTCGCCGACCGTTTCCGTCTTTTGTGGGCAATCGAGTGGTTCGCTCGTTCACCCGGAGCTGCGGCGGATTTCGTTCCGTTTCGTTTCGTTTCGTTTCGTTCCGCGGTGCCCCGTAGTGTGCGGTTTTGTTTTCTCATGATTTTGGTTCTTTTCGATTCGAACCGCCAGCACGCTGTTCTTGAAAACCGACGGAACCATTTGGGCCCTGGGACAGAACAAGGTCGGCCAGTGCGCCTGGAGGGGCAACGTCAAGCAATCGGGCATCCTCAAACAATGCGTCGTCAGCGGCAGCAAGAAGGGCGACGAAACGGACCGGTTCGTCCGGATCGCCTGCGGAGAGGATTTCAGCGTGGCCCTCAGCGAGAAGGGAATCATGTACACCACCGGAAGCGGCGAGTTCGGCCAGCTGGCCAACGGAGAGACCGGGGAGCACTTTGTGTCGGCGAACAAGCTGGCCTTTGCCAATAGCTTTGGCTTTAGCGAGCGGACGGTCTTTGTGGAAAACGATCCCACCGACGGCAGCTCTGGCGATCTCAACCGGAAAACCGTCACCATCCAGCAGGCGATCAAGATCCAGGACATTGCGGCGGGAAAACACCACGCACTGGCCCTCGAGGCGACCCCCGCCGGGGGCAGCGGTGGAACGAGAATCTTCTCGTGGGGTTGCGGCAACTACGGAGTCCTGGGACACAACCGCCAGAAGGACGAGTACTTTCCGAGGCACTGCTCCTTTCTGAGCCGGGGAATGACCTTCACCAAGCTCGCCGCCGGGGCAAACTGCTCCCTGGCGCTGACGGCCAAGGGACACGTCTACTACTGGGGAAACCACCGCAGCAACGCCGACGCGGTCATGAAGCCCCAGCTGGTGGACGCCCTGGCCAACAACCAGCACGTCGTCACCCACATCGGGGCGGGACCCGGAAACGTGGCGTGCACGACCGACGTGGGAAACACGGTGGTCTGGGGCAGCGGGCCCTACGGCGAGCTCGGCCTGGAAGGGAAGAAATCGAGCGCCAAGCCGGCCTTTGTGGACTCGATCAGCGGCCTCGTGGTCTCGGACATGGCCGTCGGCCAGGGGACCGTCCTGTACGTGATCAAGGACGATGAGAAGCTCCCAAGGGCGGACCTGGAGGCCATTGACCAAGCACTGGGCTAATCCCACCGGTGCTCTGCGCCACTCTTTTAAAAAAAAACATTAGGCACAGCCATTGCAAAGAAACCCTTCTGATTTTGGTTTTATTTCGTCCGTCCGCCGCGTCAGTTTTGGATGGCATAGATTTGTTGGAAAGGTTTGAAAGCGACGGCTGCTACGGAATCAGCGATTTGAATGCCGACCTACTTACTATCTACACGGATGCTCGTACGCAACGTTCCCGTTTCGATTCGTTCTTTAGATGTGAAGTCACGTTACTGGACTGGTCTGTCAACAGTGACAGAAACATGCAACTTCTTATGTATTTTTTACTATGAATTATTTGATCACCACGCTTGTTGTTTCAAGCAAAGGATTGGGTGGATGCTTTGGCGGCCGGGGGCGGGTACATCGTGTTCCATTCATCGGCGTAGCTGATGATGTTCTCTTTCATTGTCTTTTTCATGAGTTGGCTGTCTGCACTCCCCGTTCCCGTTGGCTGCGCAACCATGTAATTCTTGTTGAGTGAAATCGGTTCCCAGTTTCCGCTGGGAGAGAGGACCTCTACGTTGGTTACTTTTGGCGTTAAGTTTTTGTTGACGTCGAACCGCACACCGGCACCATAAGGGTAGGACCCCTCGATACCGTCATCGATAGCTTCCGAGACGAGTTCGTCGAGATATTTCACGACCCCGGATCCCACTACTTCAAAAGTGTGCATGGTGTTGTCGCCGGAAAGAGCGCTGTCGATTTTGCTCTCGACGAGAAGGCCGTCTTCAATGTCGTTTTTGCAGGTTTTTCCTTTTATCATCACTATGTCCACGCTCAGGTTCTGGTCGTAGACCGCCCATGCCACCATGTTGCATACCCCACCTCCGTTGGCAACGTCTGCCGCCGTGCAGGACGGGCTCGTCGGTTGACCGGGCATCAGGGCGTGGCAAATTCGTTGGGGCACGACACCGAGCTTGGCTTCGTCGTTCTCTCCCAAAAAATATTGTGTGGAGTACTCGCTGCTAGGAAGAACCGACCAGCTGGGGTCCTCGCCGTTGTTCATCGCATAATAGTAAAAGGCGTCACCGGTCTTGATGTTCAGCGGATCTTTCCAGTCATCGATGACCTTCGCGAATGAATCGTATCCCATGTCGCCCTTCGCCAAGGATTCTGTCGTGATGACCGTGTAAAATTTTCTGAGGTCGATCGGTTCCCAAACATCGTTGCTGAGGCCACGGTTGACTTCGATGTTGCTCACTCGCTCCGATGGTGGCAGGTTCGCCTCGATGTCGTACCTAATGCCCGAAGCGTACGGATAGGCCTTGCTGTTTCCCGATGGGCCGAAGGATGCCGTTGCTGCTTCTGTGACGAGGTTGGAAAGATCGACGCCCGAAATGTCGACGGCCACCAGTTTTTCCCCGGCAATCGCTTTCTTAATGTCGCCTGCCTTGAGTTCGGGTGCCAATAAATCCTTTTCGCACACACCGGCGTTGACGATTGCGATATCACCGGGTACGGTTGTGTTGATCATAGCCTTCGCCAAAAGGTTACAGAGCTCTCCTCCCAGATTTTCCTCGGCCGTGCGTTCCGGAGTGCAGGTTCCACTGTGCGGGATGCCTTCGTTGCAAATACTTTCCGACAGCAACGCAACGATGTCGCCGTTCCCGGCTTTGCTGAGGTTTGGAAAGTTAGTGTTACCGCCCGAGCCTCCCAAGAGCAAGGCGCAGGGAACCGCCACTGCAGTGACAACGACGACGAAGCAGATGACGGACAGCCAGATTAATTTTTTGCTGGGTCCAGAAGAACTAGTATCTTGTGCTTCCCCTTCGTCGTGCGGGACCTCGATGCTGTGTTCGATCCGGTTTTCCGGATCGACCTTTCCGTAATTCGATGACATGGTTTTGGAGTTGCGAATTTTTTGGTTTCGCTTGGTACTGTCTTTGTGTTGGTGTTTTTTAGGATTGGACGGAGCCGATTCGACGGGAAGTTCAGAACTTGCGCTCGGTAAACTGTGGGTATTTTTGCTGTTTCCGTTCGTAGCAGATCTAGTACCTTTGGCACTTCTCAATTGGATGTCCGGATGAGCTGAAGGCGACGGATAAACAGAACCGTCGAAACTCAGTCGTTTGCTTTTCGAAGATGTGGTCGCTGGAAGGCGACTAGGATCCGATCGGTTTGGTGCGATCGAACGACTGCTGCTGTTGCCGGTATTGGCTGTCAATCTAGATGATCGAGACGCTGCTGTGAGTACCGATCGATCGTCTTTTGACACAGGTTTTGGTGTCTTCTTTCGTGTCTTTCCTAACGACGAAGATGTGCTTTTTGACTGGATCGAGTGCGGACTGCTGCTGTTCGCTGTAGTTGTTGTTCCAGTGCTATAATATGATCTTGTAGTGTCGTCAAGGATGTCTACCAACTTCGACTGGTTTTTGTTGTTGCTTCCAAAAGATGATTTCAGCAGCTGTCGTTCAAGATCTGTGTTGGTTTTAAAATATTACGAGGAGACACGGGTGGGTTTGTTCCAGATCAGAGCGCACAACAGTCCGAGGTGAGAGAAGTTTAGGCTAATATACAAAAAGATTTTTCTTTGGTTATTCCCGTGGTCCTTTACAATTGACAATGAACTCACCAATTTCTCTCGTTGTCATTACAACCAGTATTGAGATATCGGTGCCGACTGCAATTCGTATTGTAATTGTAAGGGGCAGGGGATTTCGGTTCAGAAGAAAGCTTGGAGATCTTCGATCCGACGTGAATTGAAGGGGGAAGCAAATGACACGAGTGAATCCCAAGAGGGCTGCAATAATCATATACGACTGGTTCTACGAGTAACCTTAAGTATCTCAAAATTACTTGTTCTGGAAAAACTTCCATAAGTAAATTAGGGTCGTATGCGATCGTGCGTTCTTCTTTTGCCAGCAAACGATAAGAATTCTAATTTTATTAGTTTTTGTACCTACGAGTATCAGATCAATGTTCAATTCATGCGATCCCCTTCCCTCTCCCGTTTTTTATCATTCTCCCCCGAAATAAAGGAATACTTCTACTTCGTAGAAACTCTTTTTCATCCCGCCCTTGCCCTGTGAATCTCGGTTTAGTAAGGTACAGTACTGTACAACAAAAACTGCGTACTCTTAGTACGTACGTGTCATACCTATGCAACCGGAACGTACAACGTACAACAGGGGTTGGAGTTTTCGGTTTTCGTACCGCGACTTACCGTATTCCGTCGAACGTAACATACGGTACTGGCCCAAAAAGATACCGTAGCGTACTGCCGTTCGGTATGATACCATACTTGGTATTCGTACACTGCACGGTTTAGCCAATGATTCCTCTGCTGAAACCACTTGTATCGGTTCTCGTGCCCTCTTACTATCCTTGTCACAGGCTTCGAACAAAGCAGAACATACTCGAAGGCGCAGCAAAACGTTCTGGCACTCTTTCCAACGAGCATCGTTGTAACCAACGCACCTTTTGCGTTTCATAGCTCATGCTATGAAACGGCGAATCTCTCATGAAAGGCTTTCTTCCTACACGACGACGACTCGATTTCATTTCCTAGGGAAGACGCTGGGGAAACAAGGAAGCAGTGTCGGTACTTGTTACCGCATATTCGATACGATCCACTCATGACCAGCGACGCCCAACCCCGATCTGGTGACGATAGAAATGCCGACTTGTACTCTGTGGACGACGACAGCAGCGACGCCAGCTCGTTGGACTCGGACGGATCGAGCGGTTTTAGCCAAATCCGGACCACAAGCAAGACGTCTGGTTCCATGTGTCCAGAGGACGAGGGGTCAGAAACGAGCACGACCTTTTCCGCCCCGGGCGTCGGCCACGGCAGCTGCCGTAGCCGTAGCCGCAACAACAATAACCACAGTAACACGGAGAACTCGCCGTCGTCGTTTCTACCTTTGGCTGGTGATGCCGATTTCGATTCGGGGGCAAGAATTGCGGAAGGAGAATTCCATTCGTTCCGCAGCACTTCGGTAACCCACTTTCTGGCAGCGGTGGGGGATCCGGGCGAGGGCAACGCGCGTGTCGATTCTTTGGGATCGCCCGAAGCCACGGACGACATCATCGAAGCGGACCACGAAAGCAGGACGGGATCGTTTGTCGACGTGATTTCTACGAAAAAGGGTATCCTGGTCATGGCCATATGCACCGCTATGTTTTTTGTGCTTGACATCGTCCTCTTGTGGTTTTGTATTAAACCGCCCAAGGCAGAATGATTAATGTTTCCCTGCACACGGTTTGGTGACCAAGATACAAGACATTTTTCACTCCACTGTTGTCACTTAGTTTTTGAAACAGGCAAAAAGTATCCACCCGTATAACGTTGGCAATAAAATGCGAAACTTTCTTTTTTAGGGGCGAAAAATTATTCTTCGTTGTGGTTGTTCAACAGCGTTTGCGATCGTTCGTTGTAATGGGTCCAATTGGAATCCTTTTTTGATTCAATATGATGCAACATTTCATTGTACGTTGAGTATCTTCCCATAGGGGGCTCAATGTCTGTTTCGGGGTGGAATAATGTGAAATTGTAATGGGGAGTATGCTGCTGGGCTTTGAGTAGACCAATTCGCCAAAGATTGATCATTTCTGCCTGACTGTCGCTTATCTTTAAGATTCCGTCGTATCTCGTGTATTCGCCCTTTGACACGTTCACACGCAGGTCTTGCTCCCAAGGTTTGGTTCTACCGGTAAAGTGATGAAAATCTCGGTAGGGAGGAGATAGGTTTCCTTTCCGAAAACATGAATGCGGCTTCAAGGGATCACCGGAAACTATGTTCTCTATATGAACAATATCGCCCCCGTCTCCGGTGCTGGACCATTGTTCTATGTCTTTTCCGATGACGATGGAAACGCTCTTTTTGACATATTTTGTCCAGTAGTAGAGTAAACCTTGATCGGCAAAGACTGCATGCCAATCCCATGCTGTCTTTTTGTCTTTACTGTTCATACCTACCCAATAGTCTGGCGGCTTAATGATATGTCCCCATCCCTATTTCAAGGAAGACGATAGAACATTAGAATTAAATCAGTAGCTTGAAAGTGTAATGGCCGTTCATTTTTTTGGCTTACCTCTACCTCATCCCAATGTGGCCAAGGTAACGTCAAAGCTCTTTCTTCTTTCCGACGAATTTCTCGTTGTAATTCTTGCCAGTCATCTTTCTTTGGTTCAAGCATGAAGAACCCTGCATTTGCTGCTTCGTTTCTCCATGCAATGATTACATTCTCTTTCAACTGGATATTGCTGGTGTTGGATCCTCCCTTCGAGGCCATGSATGATGATGATGTTGGTGGTGGGTCAGACAACTCAAACATATAATCCAAATTGCATAATGGCATCATATCGCTGTCCATGAAGAGCACCCGACTATACTCTGTCAGTTCTAAAACTCTAAATTTCTCCTGGACAAGTGCGTAAAAGCATTCGTGGTCCTTTGATCTCATTTTGGGCAGGTATCGAATCTTGATGCCGTTGTCCGATAACATCTGCTCCTCCTCGGATGGTAGAGCAACAGAATCCGTAGATTCTGACATTTGGACCATTGCAACAAAATCTGCGGTGGAACCCATTTCTTTCAACCTTGTAGCGGCAACAACTGCGTTATAGAGAAATCCTCTGTATCCAGGTTTTTCCGTACTGCACCCAGATACCAAAAACGCGTAGGCCCATTTTCGGTTTACGCCTATTTCATTCGTTTTGTTATAGTGTTTTGAGCCGATTGTGGATGAGCTACTACTGCCAAGCAACGCATTGCCACCAGCGTTACTTATGGTGGTTGTCGAGTTTGTGGCTTGTGATCGGCGAATTTTGTTCCCAATCGATCCGTTGTCAGGGACAGAAAACGGTTTTCTTGTTTGATCATGATCATAAGAAAGCAAAGCATTACGAATATTCGATGGTCGTGAGTCATCGACTTTATCTTTCAAGAATTTGACGCAATACCTCAATAGATGGTACTGACGGTACAATTCAATCAATACAATGGCGAAAACGATAATCCTGGTCGTTGGTATTTGCCTACGAATAGGCGATCGTGTTTCCATCGTTATTTGAAAGAACGAAATAATGTTTCAAATACATCGGGTGGATGTTGAAGGGAAGGAAGTTTCTGTGCGATTATAGTAATACCGTTGCAGTGGAAGAGAACATCGAATGATTGCTCGTAGATTTTAGCTTCAGGATACTATGAGTAGTGCATGGCTGTTGACTACAGAACGTACCGGTACTCCCATTTTGCTAGTTTTCACTTCTGTTATTCTAGACCTTTCAAAAATTTGAATATGAACAACTCTGTAACGGTACTAACGGTAGCATGATAGCCGCTAGAACCACAATTCAAGAGTACTACCGTACTGTACAACAGAAAGAAGAGCAGAGTCAATTTTTGTTGGCTTATTTTTTCGTACCCACACGATATGGTGTACGTGTGTCCCGGTCCGGTGGCTACGTACCGTACCGTACCGTACGGTACGTACCGTATCGTCACTTGTAGTACTTCGTGCACCAACTACGTGATCGAAGTACGTAATTTGGGTGAATTATAAATATTATGGATTAAGCTAGAAAGTAAAGGTATGCAAAGGAGAAGTGAATCTGTTCGATTGGGATTCTGTACCCTTGATCYGGGACTTGATCTGGAATGTCCAAAAGGGGTCGGTTGGCTCGGTTCTCATATATATGCCGTTTGGTCTCGCGCGATCACCTGCGCTCTCGTGGGACCGACGCTCGTTGCATTATCCCCGACAGGAATATTACTTGTACGTGATTCCTACGTGATATTCCTACTGGGAGTTATTCGGAGGAGTCGTCGACAGTGTTTGGTGTGGAACCAGTTTACGTATGTTAACAGTCTCAGTGATATCCTTGCTAAGTCTGATAACCACAGTTCCATTAGTATTCACTTCCTCAATGGGATAAGGACCATGCAGTCTTTCGGACAGTTTGGTBGGRTCATACATTCTCATGTTGACTTGTTGCCCTATGCGGAACTTATGATCGATTCTCTTTGCATTTTCTYGTAGTAGATTAYKATCGATGGTTTGTTGGCGTTTGTCCCTGATGGAGATTAAGTCTGCCATTAGAKGGATGTTTAGTATCATATCACGGTTGAATGCCATTGCGCCAGGAGATGTGTGAATAGCTGTGCTGACAGCACATCTGGTGGCGTGCATGGCTGTGGCRAGAGCRTTGTCGATTAACTGCTCTGCTTYGTTGGTRTTCTTTGGKGGAGTTGAGTGAATGACAGCACGCAATATGTTGGCTATYGTTTGATGCACTCTTTCACAGATCGCATTGGCCTGTGGGTTCTTTACGGTAGTGGGAACGCTCCGAATGCCATACCGAGCCAGTAAYTCAAGGAACTCCCARCCAATGAACTCTCCACCATTGTCGTGGATGCAACGGCTTGGTCTGGGGTATCTTGCCAGCCAGCAATTGGCGAACTGGTCAGCCACGTGCTGTGAGCTCTTGTTGTTGATACGTATGATCTCCAACAAGTTAGAGACCGGGTCAATGCTTGTCAGGGCTTTAAAGGTTACATCTTTGCCTTGTWTGTTTATTTTCCAAGGGCCAATGAGGTCTACACAGACTTCATTCCACGGAAGCAACTGGGCTTGTCGTGGGGGCAAATGTCCGTAGCCTCTGCCTTGCTGCTTGTAAAGGTGACAATTATCTGGSCAACGGTATTCTTTACATAGTGTTGCCAGTCCTGGATARTAGAAKCGAGCCCTGATGGTGTCATAAAGTCTTGTTGCACCRCAGTGGCCGAGTATCAGGTGATACCATCTGAGAATGCGGCCTAYGAGTGAYTGGGGAATCAGTATTCGCCAATCATGTGAGCCACTATTGCTGCCGTGATGGCAGATGACGTTGGAGCTGCCAATTGTTTGTTTCGAGTATAGCTTGGGTTCCTTTGACAAGTGAAAGATGCAACGCGAGTCCTTCTCCTGATGGGCTGCTATTATCGATAGATCTAGGGGATTGTCCATTTCTGTTATTKGTGGTAGATTTAAGAGACACTCAACAATTTCGATGTCACAGTTCATGAAGAATACATCCTCGTGGTCGATGGGGGCTGTGAGTTGCTTGAAATCCACTATAGTTCCCTTGTTTTGTTCATATAATTTGCGCTCTTTATCCCCRACAGTGGGCTTTGCCATGCAAGGGACACGAGAGAAGCAGTCAGCAAGGACATTGTCCTTACCTTCAATGTACYGAAAGGTTAAATCAAAGTCCTCAATTGCGAGGCGCCATCGTAGCACCCGCGGCATAGAGAGTGTGCGGAARGTTAGATTTCGGTGATCAGTGTATATGTTGAGCCTTCCACCGTAAAGCATGTTACGGTACTCCCTGAGACAAAGGATGATGGCAAGGAGTTCTTTTTCCATTGTACTGTAGTTCTGTTGGGTTTTATCCAGCTTTTTGGACCAGTAGGCGATAGGAC